AAGATTGAAAATCGGTAGGGAAAGCCAGCTGAGTCGGTAGCGGTAGAAACATGTCAAAAGCGGTAGACTACCGCCCGAATCGGTAGGGTTGGCAGGTATGTAACGGATCTGATACAGACTGATACAGATTTGAAAATAGTCTGATGTCAGTGATGAGGAGCTCCGCCTATATGGCCAACTCTCCACCAATCAGGGGAACGAGAGGTTGCCGTGGCATGGTAACAGCATGGTAACATGACGCTCGTAACTCGGCCCCCTCCTTTGCAGGGGGGGCGTGGTCAGCTGCAGCGCATGCAAAGACAGGGTGGAGGAGAGCGAAATGAGGCATGGCTAAAATGCATGATCTGTTTGGTATTTTGAAAAAGAAAACGTATATTTAAATATACCTTGTATAGGTAAGTTATCAGCCTTAATCAATGCAGGTCCCAGATATCTACTGAGATCTTTAAAATGTTTGTGGCAATGTTAATGAAACCACAGAGGGATTTGAACGGTCTGCCAGTATCTTACATTATGTAACTGATTGCTTGTCTACTTTTAACACATTTAACCCTCCTCTTGCGTTAGGTCATACCCCCCCTTCCCATGCTATTTTCGGTCAAAATTGACCGGTGTGTTTTGCACATATCTCTGGAACCCCAATCACTCAAAATTCAATGCAAGTGTATATGTTCAGAGGCCTAGTGTGGAGGATAACATATGGTATTGAGGTAATTGGATGAAAAACACAATATTTATGATTAAAATAAAGGTCATTCGGTCACTTTTGACCCGAAATGCAAGAGAAGGGTTAATAAGACCATAGCAACATATCATTTTGGTGTTAAGTAAAGTGCAATGCAATTTCATGAATTATAATTACTTACCGTATGCTGCAGCTCCAGTGTAGATCTCTTAATGCATGAATATACATTACACTTATTTAGCACCAACAATGAAATGCTATGATAAAGCATGCTTTGCTATTATAGCTGCCTCAATTTTTTTCACTTTTTCTTGATCATTTATATTACTGCATGGACCTTTATTGCATATTGAGAATCCTTACTACTGTTTATTGGTAAGATGTGTATAGACAGTAATAATGCCTTATAAGCCCCATCAGCCAACCTCCAGGTTAAAACGAGAACATCATTAAGACACCTGCTGCAGTAGAGGACTGTAATAAAACTCTGCCTTTCATTTATTGCAGTTCTTGGGTTTTACCACCAGAGAAGGCCAGCACATTAAAGGGGACCTATTATGCAAAATCCACTTCCTCACGTCTCTTCTACATCAACATGTGTCCCCTCTTCTTCATGTCTCTTCTACATCAACATGTGTCCCCTCTTCTTCATGTCTCTTCTACATCAACATGTGTCCCCTCTTCTCCATGTCTCTTCTACATCAACATGTGTCCCCTCTTCTTCATGTCTCTTCTACATCAACATGTGTCCCCTCTTCTTCATGTCTCTTCTACATCAACATGTGTCCCCTCTTCTTCATGTCTCTTCTACATCAACATGTGTCCCCTCTTCTTCATGTCTCTTCTACATCAACATGTGTCCCCTCTTCTTCATGTCTCTTCTACATCAACATGTGTCTCCTCTTCTCCATGTCTCTTCTACATCAACATGTGTCCCCTCTTCTTCATGTCTCTTCTACATCAACATGTGTCCCCTTTTCTTCATGTCTCTTCTACATCAACATGTGCCCCCTCTTCTTCATGTCTCTTCTACATCAACATGTGTCCCCTCTTCTTCATGTCTCTTCTACATCACCATGTGTCCCCTCTTCTTCATGTCTCTTCTACATCAACATGTGTCCCCTCTTCTTCATGTCTCCTCTACATCAACATGTGTCCCCTCTTCTTCATGTCTCTTCTACATCAACATGTGTCCCCTCTTCTCCATGTCTCTTCTACATCAACATGTGTCCCCTCTTCTTCATGTCTCTTCTACATCAACATGTGTCCCCTCTTCTTCATGTCTCTTCTACATTAACATGTGTCCCCTCTTCTTCATGTCTCTTCTACATCAACATGTGTCCCCTCTTCTTCATGTCTCTTCTACATCAACATGTGTCCCCTCTTCTCCATGTCTCTTCTACATCAACATGTGTCCCCTCTTCTCCATGTCTCTTCTACATCAACATGTGTTCCCTCTTCTTCATGTCTCTTCTACATCAACATGTGTCCCCTCTTCTTCATGTCTCTTCTACATCAACATGTGTCCCCTCTTCTTCATGTCTCTTCTACATCAACATGTGTCCCCTCTTCTTCATGTCTCTTCTACATCAACATGTGTCCCCTCTTCTTCATGTCTCTTCTACATCAACATGTGTCTCCTCTTCTCCATGTCTCTTCTACATCAACATGTGTCCCCTCTTCTTCATGTCTCTTCTACATCAACATGTGTCCCCTCTTCTTCATGTCTCTTCTACATCAACATGTGTCCCCTCTTCTTCATGTCTCTTCTACATCAACATGTGTCCCCTCTTCTTCATGTCTCTTCTACATCAACATGTGTCCCCTTTTCTTCATGTCTCTTCTACATCAACATGTGCCCCCTCTTCTTCATGTCTCTTCTACATCAACATGTGTCCCCTCTTCTTCATGTCTCTTCTACATCACCATGTGTCCCCTCTTCTTCATGTCTCTTCTACATCAACATGTGTCCCCTCTTCTTCATGTCTCCTCTACATCAACATGTGTCCCCTCTTCTTCATGTCTCTTCTACATCAACATGTGTCCCCTCTTCTTCATGTCTCTTCTACATCAACATGTGTCCCCTCTTCTTCATGTCTCTTCTACATCAACATGTGTCCCCTCTTCTTCATGTCTCTTCTACATCAACATGTGTCCCCTCTTCTTCATGTCTCTTCTACATCAACATGTGTCCCCTCTTCTTCATGTCTCTTCTACATCAACATGTGTCCCCTCTTCTCCATGTCTCTTCTACATCAACATGTGTCCCCTCTTCTCCATGTCTCTTCTACATCAACATGTGTTCCCTCTTCTTCATGTCTCTTCTACATCAACATGTGTCCCCTCTTCTTCATGTCTCTTCTACATCAACATGTGTCCCCTCTTCTTCATGTCTCTTCTACATCAACATGTGTCCCCTCTTCTTCATGTCTCTTCTACATCAACATGTGTCCCCTCTTCTTCATGTCTATTCTACATCAACATGTGTCCCCTCTTCTTCATGTCTCTTCTACATCAACATGTGTCCCCTCTTCTTCATGTCTCTTCTACATCAACATGTGTCCCCTCTTCTCCATGTCTCTTCTACATCAACATGTGTCCCCTCTTCTTCATGTCTCTTCTACATCAACATGTGTCCCCTCTTCTCCATGTCTCTTCTACATCAACATGTGTCCCCTCTTCTTCATGTCTCTTCTTCATCAATATGTGTCCCCTCTTCTTCATGTCTCTTCTACATCAACATGTGTCCCCTCTTCTTCATGTCTCTTCTTCATCAATATGTGTCCCCTCTTCTTCATGTCTCTTCTACATCAACATGTGTCCCCTCTTCTTCATGTCTCTTCTACATCAACATGTGTCCCCTCTTCTTCATGTTTCTTCTACATCAACATGTGTCCCCTCTTCTTCGTGTCTCTTCTACATCAACATGTGTCCCCTCTTCTTCATGTCTCTTCTACATCAACATGTGTCCCCTCTTCTTCATGTCTCTTCTACATCAACATGTGTCCCCTCTTCTTCATGTCTCTTCTACATCAACATGTGTCCCCTCTTCTTCATGTCTCTTCTACATCAACATGTGTCCCCTCTTCTTCATGTCTCTTCTACATCAACATGTGTCCCCTCTTCTCCATGTCTCTTCTACATCACCATGTGTCCTCTCTTCTTCATGTCTCTTCTACATCAACATGTGTCCCCTCTTCTTCATGTCTCTTCTACATCAACATGTGTCCCCTCTTCTTCATGTCTCTTCTACATCAACATGTGTCCCCTCTTCTTCATGTCTCTTCTACATCAACATGTGTCCCCTCTTCTCCATGTCTCTTCTACATCAACATGTGTCCCCTCTTCTTCATGTCTCTTCTACATCAACATGTGTCCCCTCTTCTTCATGTCTCTTCTACATCAACATGTGTCCCCTCTTCTTCACGTCTCTTCTACATCAACATGTGTCCCCTCTTCTTCATGTTTCTTCTACATCAACATGTGTCCCCTCTTCTTCATGTCTCTTCTACATCAACATGTGTCCCCTCTTCTTCATGTCTCTTCTACATCAACATGTGTCCCCTCTTCTTCATGTCTCTTCTACATCAACATGTGTCCCCTTTTCTCCATGTCTCTTCTACATCAACATGTGTCCCCTTTTCTCCATGTCTCTTCTACATCAACATGTGTCCCCTCTTCTCCATGTCTCTTCTATATCAACATGTGTCCCCTCTTCTCCATGTCTCTTCTACATCAACATGTGTCCCCTCTTCTCCATGTCTCTTCTACATCAACATGTGTCCCCTCTTCTTCATGTCTCTTCTACATCAACATGTGTCCCCTCTGTGGAAAGAGACTCTGAAAGTTTCAGGAACAAAGATTCTCTCTCTTTTTGATCCATTTCTATAAAAACCTGTCTGAAAATGAGCTGATCAGATTTTGGCCACTTTATGATGTCATAGCGATGTTTTGTCTTGTGTAACCATTAGCCAATCAGCAACCAAGGTAACCCCCCCCCTTATCACCTGAATGTCCTCCTAGAGCTCCATTGAGTTCTTTGTAACCAAATGTCTCTCAGAGGGGCGTGGGGAGGGGCTCCTTATTTTCATCTAAAGTAACAGACAGAGAATCAGCACTTTGGAAACAGGGCTGAAACAGAGGGGATTATGGGTAATGCTACAATGATCTGTTTGGTGTTTGGCGCCAAACACTTCAGAGACATGTTTTGTGTATATCTGAGACCTATCATGTCTTGATGAAAAACAGTATAATAGGGGACCTCTTCAAATAAGTGTGAAATTGTACTGTACTGACAGCAAATCTTGTTTTTCAGGGGTCCTTCAGATGATGCAGACCAGGATCAGTGCTCTGCAGGCAGCTGTGGACAGGTAAAGTGTTTCCTGTGGCTCACACTGCTTACAGCCACGGTCTCCATTCTGCACTGGTCTTCTTAACTGGGCATGAAAATGATATAATTATAGATTTGTGTTGACTTATCGGCAGTATATAACAAACGCTTTCTCTATTATCTCTTGGCGTAACAAAATCCAGTGAAGAAACTAAGGCCTTTGATGTCTAATTTAAGTTTGAACCTAAATGGGTCATAGGTTCTGCTCTTCTAAGATGTCAATAAAGAATCACAATGCACACAGTAAAGCAAACAAAAAAACAACAGTGATTAAATATGTTGGATTACGTTTTAACTTTGTAATTGTGATAGAAATCAATTACAATATCAGCACCACCTCTTCCATTGTTGCCTGTCCCCCTAACTTAACTCACTAAACAGCTCTTGTACAACCACTCAAAAGCTAGCCTCCACCAACATCTTTAAAAGATGTTTGAGCAAAAATGGTGTTACAGAGAATGCCCATCTTAAGCCTTGAATTACTCATTGTTAACAGGTGATGCTATTTTTCTAAACTCATTATCTTATTTGTTTAGGTTTGTCTTATTGGGTAATTGTTTTATAAATTCATTTCTAAATGAATAAAATGTTTAATAATTATTCATTTACAAAACAGCTGAAAATAACTTTTGATGCAATCTGAAACAATTGTGGTCAGCTGATAACAAGTCTCAGATGACAGGTTCATAAAGATTATACATATCATTTTTATATATGACTTTTCGAGATACACAAAGCTGCTTCAGGATTTGTGCGGTGATGCTTTTATGAGCAACTCTGGTTCCTAATGAAACGTTGCAAATCTCTTCAGGATAAGGACGAAGATTGTTGACCCGTACAACAAGATTGTGGCCAGGATCACCCAGCTGGCCAGACTGCAGGTAACTCCCACACACACTGCATGGTGATGCTGTTATATTTGCTGTTCAGTGGCTGTGTTTGAATCTGGCCCTGTGTCCACATAGCGCCTTCTCTTGAAAGATGCCAGCAGAGCGTCAGGGAGCTCTTCCTCTCAGCCTTTCATCAACAAACGCTACCAGCGATTTTTCATTGTTTCAGTGTCAACAATATCCTGCCTGTGTATTGCTCTGTACTGTACCTTTGTTTGACTTATCATGAGCACCAAACACTTTGAACGAGTGAGCTTCATCTCATGGCAATAAAAGTACAACACTCACCGGCAGCAACATCCAGGGTCTGCCGGCTGATCTGCTCAAACAAGTGAGCGTTTCTCTCTTTGTTATGATGGTCTCGGTACGAAAGACACAGCCAATAAGGAGCTTCCCCTCCAATTTGTACACTGACATTACCAGTCACTAGGGTTGCAAAGGGGCGGAACATTTCCGGAAAGTTTCCATGGGAAGTTAAGCTGGGGAATTTTGGAAATATTCGATGCAAAATTAAACAAAAAACATGACATTTCAACAGATTATTTTTAATTTTTCTTTTAATTTTTTTTAAGTAGAACAGAACAAGTTTTCATTTTTTTATTGAACAATTATTTGTTTCATTGAAGAACGAAAACAGGAATGTTGAGTTAAATATTACTCATCCCCCCCAACCCCTCTCATTAAAAAATGAACAAAAATGCACCCCCTATCCAAAAATCCCCACAAAGTCCCATTCTAAACGTTAAATGAAAAGAGCCCTTCTCCCTCCACAAAGTCCCATTCAACATGCAAACTGTCCTTCAAGCAATCCTCTGCATTTTTGCTAAACCCTTTCAGTCAACGGGCTCTTCCTGGGCCTCATCAACATCACACTCTTCCTCTTCAGTGTCACTGTCCAGCCTTGTTGAGGATGGCTCTGTGTCAGGCTCAAAGAGCCTTAGGTTTGCCCGAATGCCAACCAGTTGTTCCACTCTCACATTTGTGAGCGTGTTGTGAACCTTTGTGTGGTCTCAATAGCCATGCAGTAAGCAGTGTGCTATGGCATGGATATTCAAGTGTGCTTGAATGGCATCTGTTTGTTTTAGTCAAGATTATGCTCAAATATACTTTCCCCAACTATATTGAAGTTCCCTATGAAGAGCTAACCTTCAATTTAGAAAATTCCCAGTTTATTCCCATAAATTCCCATGGAAAGTTTCCATCTTTGAAAATTCCCGGAATTTTGCAACCCTACCAGTCACCAGCGCTTAAGTGTTCAGATCAGCTGGTGCACAGAATGAGGTGATATGTGGACACAGGCCCCCAGTCAGTTTCTCTTTTGAGCTGGCTCAAGAAAGTGTGTGGCAGTATTACCAAAGAACCAAGCTTTCCAAAACCCACAGAGAGATCGACTCTGTGTTGGAGAGTGGTTCAGCATTTCTGTTTACATGGAGATGTTTGTTGTGTGCACAGCTCCTTGCTGCTATCCGTGCACAGCAGAGTAACATGTGGGGGCAGGTCTCCCGTTGGTGCAGCTAAGGGAAATCATGATGGATCAAACAGCAGCTGGAGAAAGGTCAGCAGGATTGTGAAGTGTCTCAGCTGAGCTAATGCCTCGGATACTCTGAGATCTCTACATCATGTTTGCTACCTGAGCCTTCAGTATGAGTCCAATGACTCAAACATTAGGTGATCAGTCATCATCAAAGGTCTGTCAGCTCGTAAAACAGCACAATATCTTCCTTTCTACCTCACATAATTAACATGGACAAACTGAAGATAGCTGTACAATAAAAGAAAACAATGGATTTCAGATAATAAAGAATGAACCCATCTCTTTTTTCTTTTTTCTTAATTGGAATGCCACACAAGCAGTGAAATCCCCCAATCACCTAACCTCCCCCATCTCCAATTAGTTCATTTGTTTGAAGTCCAACTGGTCATTCGTTCTGATTGATTTTGATTATCATGCCACTAACGGGTGACTTGAGGTTTGTTAAGGTAACTTTTTATTGTATTTTATTATTACAAATATTTCTTCCCGCTCGTAGCACAAGAATATGCCTCGGGGCCCAGCAATGTGTTACTGCGGCAAGCTGCAACTCCCTGCTGTGTATTAAGATAAGATAATGTAGCACCTGTAGTCCTATCTCACACAAACAGAGACACTAACATCTACCTAGGTCCGAATAGTGGTATGCCTTGAACAACTCTGGGGAGGAGTTAGATTTAGTTGAACAGTTGACAAAAAATAGAGCTCTTAACATACTTCAAAATAAATAAAACTAAACAAATAAAAGAGTCCTTTCCCTTTTAAAGGTGGGGTAGGTAAGTTTCAGAAACCGGCTTGAGAAACACTTTTTGTTATATTCCATGGAATGCTCTTAACATCCCGATAGCAATGAATATCTTAAGTGCTTTGACAAAAAATCCATAACAACATTTCATCTGTGGAACCCGTAAACGGATTGGATTGCCGCCCTGTCTGTCAGCCTTCCATCTCGTGCACGCACAAATGTATCTCGTGCCCTCATTGGGCGTGCATTGCGCGTTCATGTGTGTTGGAGGAGGTGCTCTGTAAGGAAGTCTGAAGGAAGGGGCGGATTCTTTTCGGCTGTGTACTTTCAAATTTTAGTGCACTCGAGCCGGTTTCTGAAACTTACCTACCCCACCTTTAAATAAGATAATTCAAGATCTCTATAGTTCAGTTCTGTGTGTGAACTGCTATTGCTCCTTCTACCTGGGTAGAGCTAATAGTGTACTTGTTCTTATGTGTAATCAGTGCGAGTGAATTCTTGTTTCATCTGTATCGTTACTTTTTTTCAAGTAGTTGTTGTCACCTACCTGTTAGTGATCAACTGCTCAACGGTTCCTAGCCTGCTAGCTACCGGCCGCTATCACCAAACTCATCTGATCCCTGCCATCAGCTGTCCTGGCCATTGGATACCTTCGTCTCTGTACGGCACAGCTACTGTGAGGTATTTCCCGGCCAGTCTCTCAGATATCCCGGTGCGGTCAGCCCTGGTAGCCGGGATTGCTACCTCTACAGCTAGCCACCCTCCAATCACCGGGTGGCTAGATGCTAAATGCTAGCAGCGGACCCGTCTACCGGCTTCATCTCCTCGCCATCTTTCTCCCTCGCACTCCCGCCGTCTCATTGGCAGTTGACTCAACCTCTCCACTCGGCCCGATCACCTGCCATGCTGTGGAGATTCCCGCTGACTCTGTCACTTATCCTCTCAACAACTTCACTGCAACAGGCAAACAACTCCTGTTTCGCATCCTCCCAGTCTGGCATGACACGGACATACTCCCTTGCACAACTACTCACAGCTAAAACCGTTTTCCCACTCCACTATGCCCAACGATAATCTCCGCCATCAGAGATCAAGGACTGCAACAACGACCAAAATACATCCACAGAAGCTCCGGAAGAACGTTTTTTACTCCCGGTCCGGTCATTCCATCCCATCCCTCTGGTCTGCTGCGCGCACTGACACCACCCTGCCACCACCCTGCCACCATGTCCTCATCACAACAACCAACACGTGCGTGCACTCTGCTTGCCTACAACCCCCTTTCCAAAGCACCCCAGCCTGTTAAAACTCAACAACATCTCAAACTTGCTCTATTTAACACCCGGTCTCTGAATAGCAAGGGTCTCATTCTCAATGAATTCATCACAGCCAATAATCTGGACTTTCTCTGCATCACTGAAACTTGGCAAAAATCACAGGAATACTTCTCCCTCAAACAGACTATACCCCCCAGATACAAATGCATGAAGAAACCACGCAACCATGGCCGCGGGTGGTAGGATTTTGCAATTTTTTAATCACATAAAAACGAATGCAATATTCCTCCTCATTTGAATACATTGCTTTTAAACTGTCTGGTCCAAAACCCCTGGTTACTGCAGTAATTTACCGTCCCCCGAATCCAAACACTGCTTTCTCCTCTGACCTGTCTGAATTCCTAACACAACTCTGCTCCATATCTCCATATGTTCTGCTTCTGGGTGATTTCAATATTCATGTTGACTCACCTGACTCCAAAGCCACTACATAATTCCTGGACATCCTCAACTATTTCAACATCACACAGCATTTAGACTTTCCCAACCATAAAAAAGGTCACACACTGGATCAGGTCTGCAAGTCTGGCATTTCCATCAGCAATCTGAACACCTCTGACCACACAATCTCCGACCATCTGGCAATTACCATGGACATCCTCACCCCAACCCCCCTCATCAAGCAGAAGCGCACCATAACTTTCTGGAATCTCAAATCCATAAACCCCTCCTCCCTCTCCTCCCTATTGGCTGACACCATCCCTGACTCGACCCTCATCCAGTACGATTCACCTGCTGACCTGGTCTACACTTACAACAATGCTCTCTCCTCCTGTCTGATTGATTGATTGATTGAAAAGTTTATGAACAGCTTGTATATTGGGTACAGTACAGTACAGCTCAAAACATACAATTGTTAAGGGGATGCAGACCAGAGAAAGACTTTCATCTTGTTTACATCAGGGTCCCCCATTTCCAATTCATCATATCATTTAAGACATATAAGACATATTTGACATACAGATGGCTTATTTACAATTTACATACAGGTGGTTTTTTACATACAGATTGCTTATTTACAATTTTCATTTTAGATTTCGTTCTAATACATCCTAACCGGACATTTAAGACATACCAAGTCTACAGATATACAGTTAGTAACAGAGTCTAAAATGCGAGTATATACATAGATGGGGGTGGAAGCTGTCCATTGAACGACAGGTTGAGATTTGTACCATTACCGGGGCCAGTTTTGCAATGCTCTCCCCCGAAGGTGCTCTTTAAGAGAGGTTTTGAAGGTAAGTATAGTTTTACTTTCCTTTACAGTTGTGGGAAGAGCGTTCTCAATCAACGTGCTCCAATAAAAACCAAATCTGTCTCTTTCACTCACTCCACCCCCTGGTACACTTATCATCTCCGACACCTTCAATCTAAAGGCCTGCCAGCTCGAAAGACTTGCAAATAGAACCGGTCTTACGATACATAAAGATGTCTACAAACCACACCAACAGCAGTACAAAGACGTCCTCAACAGCGCACTCTCCTCCCACTACTCCTCTGTCATACAATCTGGCAGCAACTACCCTAATACACTTTTAAGCAAGCATAAGCAAACTCCTCAAACCTATGGACACCATCTCCAACTCCTTCACTGCCACCAAATGCGACTAATTTTATCTTGGTTTTTTAAGGACAAAATTGAAATACACAGCCAACTGGCCAACGCTTCCAACTCCTCCACCACCCATCCTTTCCTCGAACCTTCCTTCCCTCCTCCTTCGAATCAACTTTTTACATAATTCACTCAAATCACCACTGCTGACCTAGCTTCCCTAGTCACTGACATGACAATTTCAACCCTCATCCTGGACCCCATCCTCTCCACCCTTGTCAAAGCGTGCTTGTCAAAAAACTGCTCTACTCAAGGTCACAAATTACATTCTCCTCTCCATCCTCATCTTTCTTGACCTAACCGCCGCCTTCGACACCATAAACCACTCCATCCTCATCACCCGCATTCAGTCCTTCAATGGCATAACCGGCACTGCCCTCTTCTGGCTTAAATCATATCTCTGGCAGAAAACGATTCATTTCCATCAACAACCTCAAATCCCCTACCGCTTCAGTCACTCACGGCCTCCCCCAGGGCTCTGTAACTGGTCCCCTACTTTTCATCATTTACATCTTCCCAGACAGATCCTCCGTCAACACCAACTCCGGTTCCACTGTTATGCCGACGACCAAAAAAACGCCTTCTTCCACTTAAAGAATATTGCCTGCATCAGACCCTCCCTCTCATCCACCGCTGCTGAAGCTCTGATCCATGCCTTCAATACATCCCGACTAGATTACTGCAACAGCATCCTCTATGGTTCCCCTGCATACATCCTCAATAAACTGCAATGTGTCGCTGCCCGAACTAACTAACTAAAGAGAGTGGCTTTAAGTAAAACGAGAGCAATGCTCCCTTAATATATATATATATATTATACTCATACTCAGTCTGATTGACAGGTGGACACAGCATCACAGAGGCCCTCACCCCCTAGATACACCTCTGTTCATCCTCTTCCTCCTTCTTCTCCAGCTTATCCTCCCCCCTCCTCTAACCACCTATCATTAAACTTACATCCTTCTTGCAGTCAGTTATTTACAGTGGGCTGTCCTTCTCTCAGGGTTTTACACATGCACAACTCAATAAACCTTTTCTTGCTTTCCATCTTTGTTGAACTTGGTCTACCCAAAATGAATAAGTTCTGTATTTCCTCCAGATACATATGTGTGAACTTGGTGTAGTTAAAGAGCAGGAATATCTCCATGGTTAACATTGCTATGCATTGGCATAGCAACCATAAAGTGTAGTATTTGTAGCTCTGCCTGGCTTTGAAAGCAAGCATTATTGACAAACCAGATCGCTCAGTGTCTTCTTAAAATGTACACTATGTTTTTGAGAAGAGGAGAGAACCATTTGACCAAAGTGCTGCTCCCTGATCAAACAAAGCGAATTATTCAATAATAATGAATCTTTCATTCTGATCTGAGCTATATTTACTGCTTATGCCCTGGGCCCAAGAGTTCAAAGCTTTTAATCTCAATCAGATCCGATCAGATTTTGAAATCCCATTTTTTGTGATCCAGGATCAGACAAGTCGGCCACATTTTGTCCCTGGAGTTCAAAGCAATTCAGGATAGGATCAGTCTGATCCAGATTACGATTTTTCAAGATGACTAGATCCTGAATATCAGTGCTTTAATCCTACCGATCGCCATCTAGTGGATATGAAAAATAATACAAGGAAGACAAGAGACCACATTGCAGAGACATAATGTTTAATTATATTTTTAAATACATAAAGGACATCAAATCATAATGAAATTGTAATTAAAAAAAATACTCCCACTAGGGTAACAACAATAAAGCATTCATTGAAAGGCAGCTGGATCATCCAGGCGTGCTTTGAGGAGCTGAATTCTCAGTGAGGTTTCAGTTTGCTGAAGCCGGCACAGCTGTATTTGTTCTTCGGCCAGACGGTTCTGCATCTCTGCCCTCTCCGTTTCACGGCTCAGCAGAGTCTCGTAGGCATCATCCCTCTGTTCTGGTTTTCTGGTGCGCTTGCATTTTCTCTTTAGAGGTGGCTCTTGCAGTGTGTCATCAGGCCTGGCTGAAGGTCCAGCTTCTGGATCCACATGGGTCAGGAGGACCACATATTCAATGGTGTGTGTCACATCAGGTGCATTGACGACCTGAAATGAAAGTTTATCAATATACTTTATACCCCTTAATAAGATGATCACAAGCATGCACCCTGGAAAATTGTAGTACTAGGATGCTATGTAAGACATATAGCCATTGTAGTACTATGAAAATAACAATTATACAAGATAATAATTGTAGTTCTATAGGAACAAGGATAAAATCACACATACCTGCGACTCACCATCCAGTACAACGTTTGGTATTCCATGTAAAGATTGTGACTGCTGACCACCAATGATATCAAGCACCACATCTGTGTATTGTCCCCTTTTATGTGGTTTGTTACCCGTCTGTGGGTTTTTAGCCTGGCTGTGGTCTTTGGTAACTTGCTGCTTCAAATTCTTCCACCTCAACCTCACTTGGTCCACCGTCCTCTTGTGTCCAGATCCTGTGGCATTCACATTGTCTGTAACTTCCATCCATATTCCGCTCTTTACTTTAGTCGCTCCACCCTCTCTGTTAAAGCTACCAACTATGGAGTCATAATTGTTCCTTACACCCAGCAGCAGTGCATGGGTCTCAGCAGATGTAAAATTAGGCCCCTTTTTGTCCATCTTTCCAACTCAATGGTTTGGTCAGGTCAGCAATTACTTGTATAGGTCTGGCCTTGCTATTAATTACATAATTAACCACAGGCCCTAACCAATCTGGACATTCATTCCAGGTGTGTATTTGCAATTAGTTGTTATTCAGAGACTGATGTAGGCCTACTGACTGAAACAACAGTCAGAACACAGTCATGGCAGGGATTGTTCACATATTCCATGCTGGAAGGAGAGGTTACCGCCAAAGGGTCCACACCGAGCGCCCCAAACCTCTCCAACAGTACACAACAGAAGAACTGTACAATCGTTTTCGATTTGGACTTGATGACATCAACTACATTGCTGATCTGTTCAGGCCACAACTGCAGTGCAGAAACCTTGCAGAGTCATGCTCTGACTGTAGAGGAACAGGTCCTCATTGCCCTGCGCTTTTACGCATGTGGAACATTCTATGAGGTCATAGCTGACAGCATGGGAGTCCACAGGACAGTGGGTGAAGTGGTGACAGCTGTGTCTGATGCACTGGCTCGCCTGCTGGATCACTTTGTGACTTTACCCACTGATGGCCAGATTGCCAAAGTGAAGCAGAAGTTTTTTCTTCTGGGAGACATGCCCAACACCATTGGGGTGATCGACTGCACCCATGTACATATTCAAGCACCTCGTCAGAGGGAGTGGGAATATGTCAACAGGAAAGGGAGGCACAGCATCAATGTGCAACTTGTGGGAGATGCTGACCTTGCCATCACCAACTGTGTTGTGAGATGGCCTGGGTCAGTCCACGATGCACGTATCTTCAGAGAGCCGGTTGTTCACTGAATTCTAAACCAACAGGCCGGATGGAGTTATATTAGCCGACAGTGCCTACCCACTCCTACCATGGGTGATGACACCTTTTCCCATGGCCAACACTCCTTCACAGATGCGCTACAACAATGCCCATGGAAGAACAAGGTGTGCCATTGAGCGCTTGAATGGAGTACTGAAGAGGCGCTTTGCATGCCTCAACTATCTGAGAGTGGAACCCCAAGGAGCATGCCAAATAACACTGGCTTGTATTGTGCTACACAATATCGCTGTCCATCGTAGAGTCCCCCTCTCTGACATCGATGATCCCCCAGAGCCCCTCGCACCTGCTGATGATCTAGGCCCACCTATGGATTTCCCTCTAAATGAGAGACTGAGTGGTGGTGCAAGGCGAGATGCTATTGTCTGCAATTACTTTTGAAAGGTGATGACAGATGATGGACTTTTTTTTGTTGAAGATATTTTTTATTTAATCTAAATTACATTTGTGATTAACAATCTTTGTTGTGATACTTTCATGAGCATAAACATTTATGTCATCAACATTTGGTTGAAAACAAAATAGGCCACCACAAACGTGAGCAAAAAATGGAAAAATAAAATGTATTTCCCATGAAAAAAAATTGTGTATTATTTCAGTTAACAAACTTTGCCATCTAATTTAAATGGAAACATATTTTAAAATAAATTGTACATTACATTTTGCTCTGGTAATCCACTGGAAATCCAACCCTCTGGTGGGATCAGGATAATCCAGTTTTTTGGGATCAAACTGATCCCAATCCTGTGTTGTCGGTTTGAACTACCGGTTTTGAAGATTTTGATCCAGATTAAAGCTTGGATTGGATTTCCTGATCTGATCGGATATCAAAGTGATCCTAATCCTGTTTTTTGGTTTGAACTCCCCAAAAGATAAATCTGATCTGATCAGATAGGGATTAAAAGTTTTGAACTCTTGGTCCCTGGATATTGGGTTGAAGCTTGCGTCACGTATCTCACCATGTTTCCTCGTCCATCTCTTCCTGCTCCAGGTGGCCTGTGACCTGCTGCGGAGGATCATTCGGATCCTGTACCTCAGCAAGAGGCTGCAGGGCCAGCTGCAGGGGGGCAGCAGGGAGATCACCAAGGCTGCACAGAGCCTCAACGAACTAGGTAAGGACAGGCATCTTTATTTAAGGTACAATTATCTTTCTACACAACTACAACAGTTGCTGTAGTGTACCAGCAAGCAATACATCTGTGACGGGGTTCTATTTGTCCGTTTGGAACATAGGCTTTGTCGGTTGAATTAAGCTCCAAAACTTTATTTATGACAGCAACAAAAAAATATATACTGTTTGACAAAAGCAAAACAACACAACTATAAAAGTCAATATAAAAGTCACCAAACCAGGCCGTCCATCACTCATGGAATAAACACATTCTGGCTGTTGCCTTCACTGCAACAATCTCCCGAACACATCCTAGCTGTTGCCTTCACTGCAACAATCTCCCGAGTGAATCTTCGCCAACACCGTCCCTTTTGAACCCATAGCCCCTCCCCACAGGCTTACCGTCCACAGGTTACACAATTAACTCAAAACCACATTGTCAACATAAAAATCTGACCCAAACATAAACAGGTTAACTACCTCTTAACACAATCATTCCCCATAATTAACAAACGCAAAATAAATAATAAATGGCATGGTTCATGACATCCTTGAACGGTTCCTCGGAACCGGTTTTTCTTTTCAGCCCCCGTTTTGTTCACACCGCCCAGAGCCCGACTGGTGCTGCCGCTGCTGCGTCATGACGTCACTGTTTACGTCGCTGATTTTCTCCCCAACGGCGCTCACAACAACAATTCATTTTTTATTAATGTGTTTCAGCGGCATTTACCAACCGCAGTGCTGCTCGTCCACCGGAGTTTATTCTCCCGTTAACTCACGGCAGCGGCTGGAAAGTATTCACTGTCTGACTGTCACACAAGCAGCTGATAAATATCCCCAATTCCCCATCAATTAATGTGTGTCAGTATGAATTGACGCTCTTTTCCATCAAAGGGGTGTAACGGTTCACAGAATTCACGGTTCGGTACGTACCTCGGTTTGGGGGTCACGGTTCGGTACGGGTTCGGTACAACAAGAAAAAACAAAAAAGAGTCCCAAATGCATAATTCCAGGTTTGATGTTATTTATTTTTGAACAGTAGTGCAAGTTTCAGTTTAAAAATAAGGAACTCTAACATTTTGAATAATTAACTATATTACACATTAAAAAACAAACCACAAACAGTACCACACACACTCAGATGGGCATATTATCTATAATGGCTGATGTCAAACAAAAAGGTTTCATCAAACTGTAAAACTAAAAAGAATGTCTTGAAAATATTATTAAGTGTTTTAAGGGTGCATAGCAATTGAAATATATATACCAATAGCTTCCGTTATTTATTTTGGTCTCACCGCTTTCATGTCTATTGGTTTAAACAGCAGGGATAAACTGTTGAACGGCTGTTGTCTTTCGCCGGCAAATCTTGGTGATGCCTTCTGATATGATTTAGCATGTTTGGCGTGTGTTACCATTAGCATACCGCACCACTGTAGAACAACGCCGACACACCGTCCTCGTCAGATCCACCACTCGCACTCCATCGTTGTTGTAGTCCACAGGGAACCCGAAATGTTCCCACACAGCTGATTTAAAAGAAGCAGGTGGGTTCTAGCTCCTGTGTGTTATCTGAAATCGCCAGACTAACTTTTCTTCTTCTTGTATTTTGTTAGTTTTGTTGTTTAAGGGCGGCTGGCAAACGGCTTTTAGGCGCAATACCGCCCCCTGGATTATATATAGTGTAATGGATACTGCCCTGAGTGACAGACTTTTTTCCCACTCATAACAAAGGCGTATTCGTCGTGTGACTGCATGTGCCGAACCGTGACGGTTCAGGACGAATACGGATACCGTTACACCCCTAATCACAACGCTTTTATGAAAGTTTCTCTGGTATAAAATGGGTGATGTTAGCATAGCAACCGAAGCTAAACTGACTATCTTGACTACTTGTTGCTATCCTAATGTGGCATAAGCCGTTTTCTACAGGCACATTTTACCGGCGTATTTTTCATTATGATTCTACTATATTGATTCCATCCGATAGATGCTATAATACAAAACAACACTTCTGCCTGCTCTCCACAATGATCAATAACAGCGAACGGATGGTCAAAGTAAGGCACAAATAAACAGAATCACACGAAGCCTGGTTACTGGTTAGTGTTGCCTGACTTTATAAAGTGTGTTTTTTTTTATAAGTGTGTGGTTGCGTTCTAGTCACTTTGCTCAGCGCTACTGCTTGTTACAACTTTCATTTGCCGTACTCACCATAAACTGTTAGCTTAGGTTAATCTCGCCCCATCTGACGTAAGCGTGACGTATGCGGTTTTTGATTCTAGACCGACAATTTTTTCGAGCTTGGTAAGAACCGGTTTTCGGAGAAAAGAGCCGGCTCCGCTGCGGTGTGAACAGGAAAAATGGGTGCTTATCAGGCTCAAGCTCCGAACCGGCCCTGGAACCGCGTTCCAGGGCCGGTTCCAGATGCTTTCTCTCAAGAGAGCCTTTCACACCACACTCAACTGGTTATTCAATCCAATGGTTTACTTAGCATAAGCACATTACTGTTGTCTATACTTGATGAACTTGATGAAGATCAGATTACATTTTGTGACCAACTAATGCAGAAACCCAGCGAATTTCAAACAGTTCACATGTTTTTTAAGCATATTATTTGCTGTAAAAGTCATTGCTAATTCGAAATTAAATGTTTTAATTGGAACTTGAAAAACAAATTTGCCAAGCAGGGTCTTTGCTCATCTGATGATAATACAGTGTGACTATAGGAGGCTTCTCATTGCTGTATACAAACATACAGTGGAGGAAATAAGTATTTTATCCACTGCAGATTTTGTAAATGTACCCACTTACAAATAAATGAACAGTCTGTAATTGTAATGGTAGGTTTATATAAACAGTGAGAGTAAGAATATCAAAAAGAAAATCCAGAAATGTACATTATATAAAAGATAAAAATGTATTTGCATTAAACTGTGGGAAATAAGTATTTGATTCCCTTGCAGAACATGTGTTAGTACTTGGTGGAGAAACCCTTGTTGGACGCACAGAGGTCAGACGCTTCTAGTTGGTCTCCAGGTTTGTGCACATCTCAGGAAGGATGTTGGTCCACTCCTCTCTGAAGATCCTCTCCAAATCCTTCAGGTTTTGAGGCTGATGCCGGGCATCTCGAAGCTTCAGCTCCCTCCATAGATCTTCTATGGGATTAAGGTCCAGAGACTGGCTCCATCACCTAAATGTGCTTCTTCTTTAGCCACTCCTGTGTTGCCTTGGCCGTATGTTCAGGGTCATTGTCCTGCTGGAAGACCCATCCATGACCCATTACAGTGTCCTGGCTGAGGGAAGGAGGCTATCGGCCAAGATTGTACGGCCCCGTACATCCTCTCCTCGATGCAGGGAAGTCCTCCTGTCCCCTTAGCAGAGAAAACCCCCAAAGCATAATGTTTCCACCTCCATGCTTGACGGTGGGGTGTTCTTATGGTCCTTATGGTGTTCTGGGGGTTATAGTCAGCATAGTAGCCTCCGCCATGGAGCACTGGCAGGTTATTTTCATGCTGCTGTTAATTTGGAGAGCATATCAACAGACTCTAGCTGACGGCACATATGATTATATAATCAGACGACGTGCGATAAAAAACATTATAACATATAATGAGAGACGTTCTGCAGTAAGGAGGAGGTTTCACCGACGACAGGTGGCTCTGACTTTTATGTCTAATTGACGGAGCATTTTTAGTTTGAACGACACTGTTCAACACTTCATTCTGCTTCACTCTTCCGCTAAAGATTTTGAAGACATCCGTGTTGTTGTGACTCGTAAATACTACACTTGCTGTGTTTTGGTGCGGACTGCATTCACACCAGCGATGAACCGCTCCAGAGTTCACTTGCAAGCGGTCCGAGACCACGTCTTTTAAGCGGACCTGAGTCCGGTTGTTTAGTTAACTTCAAAGGTCTCGGACTGTGTTCACACCAACCCAAACGAACCACACCAAACGGCTAAAAGCACCAGGGTTCGATTCAACCGGACTATACAAGGCTGGTGTGAATGCGACTTAAATCATTCAGATGTTCATTGGCAAATTTCAGACGGTTCGTACATGTGCCTTCTTGAGCAGGAGGACCTGGCGGGCGCTGCATGATTTGATCCATTATGGTGTAGTGTGTTACTAATAGTTTTCTTGGGGACCCAGCTGCCTTGAGATCATTAACAAGTTCCTACTGTGTAGTTCTTGGCTGATCCCTCACCTTTCTCATGACCATCAATACCCCACGGGCCAGATCTTGTGTGGAGCTCCAGCTATTGATGCTAATTTTGTCTTTCTTCCATTTCTGAATAATCACACCGAGCTGCTTTCGGATGGTCTTGTAGCCAATCCCAGCCTTGTGGAGGTCTACAGTCTAGTCCCTGAGGTCCTTAGACAGCTCTTTGGTCTTGCCCATGGTGGAGAGGTTGGAATCTGATTGGTTGATTCGGTGGACAGGTGTCTTTTATACAGGTAACAAGTTGATATTAGGAGTACTTTTTTTAAAGGAAGACAACTTATTTAACCGGTCCGTGGGAGCCAGAATCCTTTTCTTTACAAGGGGATCAAATACTTATTTCCCACAGTTAAATGCAAATACATTTTTATCTTTTATATAATGTCAATTTCTGGATTTTCTTTTAGATATTCTTACTCTCACTGTTTATATACACCTACCATTACAATTATAGACTGTTCATTTATTTGCAAGTGGGCAAACCTACAAAATCTGCAGGGGATCACATACTTATGTATTTATTCAGATTCTTGGATGCCTGTTAAATATTTAAGGAAAGGAGCACTTGAATTGGCTAGCTACTGAAAATAATGTGAATCTTTGTTGCTAGTCCTTAATCCTTGACTAGAAGGTACAACATATACAAAATATTTTCGCAACCACCCTTTCACAGTTATTCATGATTAAACTATTTCATGGTACATTTAAGACTGACTATGCCATTATTGGGAGGTGTATGATAAGTTTGTTTTGTCCAACAATTGCTGGCTAGGTTCAGAACAATTTGTGACCTTCTGGTGTCAGCTGACAAATAGTGATATTGATGCATTGAATGCCACCACAACAGCTATCTGCAGTACTTCCCTTAGTTATCACAGGCATTGTGTGACAGAAGGGGATCAGAAGGGCAAGTGCTTTCAACAGCCTACGCCTGCTAGGCTGTGACCACTTCTTCACACACACACACACGCACGCACGCACGCACACACACACACACACACACACACGCACGCACGCACACACACACACGCACACACACACTGCTTGGGTAATATTCCATTGACTGCAAAGACCTTTTAAATGGGGTCAGCGTCCTGAGTGTTCTGTAGCTCTTGAGGTGGTACAGCGTCTGCTTCTGGTCTCTGCTGTGCCAGGTCGCTTGTTGTTAAACAATTCCAACAATTTTTCAAGAGGGCTTTGCTGCTCTGTGTGTGTTATGGTTCACACTGGTGGCCTGGACACACAGACAAGTTTTAGATTCCTTACACTGGAGATTTGTAAAACTCCTTCAAAGTTGTAGATTTTCCCAAACTGCGGTTACTTGATAACCTTTATCGCCACCTAGTGGCCCTGCGAGCGGAGGACAGAGATATCTTTTTAAAAGAAAATCCAATTGTTTTCAAGCGCAGAATAAATAAATAAATCACTACAGGACGAAACTGGGGAAAGTTGGGAAGAAACAACATTTCACGTGTTAATCTCCCCCTCTGGCCTGATGTAATCCCTGTATCCAGATCTACATTGAGAGGCATACAGATTCTTAATTGTTTATTCAAAGAAGTGACAAGCAATATCAAGGTACTCTATCACTGTACATAAACATTTGTCTCATAATGCACTAACCAGAAAACACTACGCACTTCTGCAGTGCTCCATATACTCCATGTAATTCTTAAGTGTATAGCAACAAATTACACTCATCGATCATGGCTCGTACCCTTCAGGGACATTTTTTGTGCTGAGGAAAAAAAAAACTTTAAATGCAATCCTTTAACTCACACATATTCAGCCGATTGTTTCACTTTTTATTTTAAAGTAACGCGTCCACGTTATCTCTTTATTCCTCTGATCTCAAGGAACACATCTTTTCAGAAATGTATTATTCATTAGGTAAACTGCTCAGACCACATTGTTATTGAGCACATGTGTATTTAGCTGGTTAGACTTGTTAATACAATATTCTCCATCATTGTATTATTTTTTCCTGTGTTTTTCCAAAAATATTTTCGATCTCTCTCTTTGCATAAACAATACTCATAATCTTCATCTAAACACCAGTTATTTGTGCCATGGACTGTTACATTCCTTTAACCTGTTAAGCCCTGAGCCTGTTTTTCAGGTCTCAGGCTCAAAAATGACTTCCCAGAACAAATGACTATGGCTCCGTCTCAGGTCGGTTAAATGAAATCCTTGCTTCCCTCACTTGCGTCGTTTCCCTGAGTTTAGTCCCTCCCACCAGGGAAGCATGGAGAGACGCAAGGAAACCACGAGAAGCAGGGAAATGAGTTTTAAGAGCAATGGGACGTCCTTTCCTCCGGAGCGTCACGTGAAGCGACGTCCGTTTGTGATGACGCCGCACAGCTGTTCGTCTGACAGCAGCTCTGTCCCCGTTGTTTTCACAAACACCCCCGCCACACATTTACTGAGACAAACATTTGTATCATCTGTTGTAGACCCCAATAAATAAAATCAAATAAGAACTCATTCTCAAAAAAGATAAACGCCATTCTTAAAATGTATAAACGAACAATAGTTAGATTAATATTGATTAGAGTGCACAATAGAAATAAAATAATCGAGAGAAGAAAAAGAGATATGTTATCTATCAAAACCCAGTTGGATTAACCTTCATTGGATTGCACACTTTGTTTGTTTGTGTGGATATGTAGCACATTAACATTTTAATAGCACTTAATGACTGACTGAATGGAAATGACAATAAATGAAAATGTAAAACGAAAAAAGCGAGCATGAAAATGTTTCCAACAAATGAATAAAATGATTTTTGACCACTTTGTTGTTCAGATATATCACATATTTGTAACTAAATGATACATTAATTTAAACAAAACACAGTATAAACTGAGGAGTGAGTCCCGTGAGGTTCATTTATTTTCTTCACTCCGCTGGGAAACTGCTCTCATGTCAAGAAGCATCAGATCAGTGCATGCACTGCCTCGTCCAATCAGTGAGCGATACACAGTAAGGGGGCGGGGCGAGTATCTGAGGATTTCATCGGAGGATGGTCTGGTGGTTCCTCGGTTATCGCTCCTCCATTATCGCTCCTCGATCCTCGATCCTCGATCCTCGGTCCTCTGGCAGAAATAAGAGCCATGGGACGGTACTCAAGATGGCGCAGACAAATCAACTTCCGGTGAGACCGAGGAGTGAGGAAATGAAAATAGTCGACCTGAGACGGGGCCTATAACTTAACTTCTAAAAGGGGTAAATTAATAATCTTTGTTCTCAAAGCAATGATAAACCTGTGAGTTGGATGTAGAAGAGTCAGAATCAATATAGATGTTTTTTATTTTAAAGTAAATTCAGATTGAACATAGTAAAAAAATGTAAATGTATGTCCGTCCAAAAAAAACACATTACTTATAGTGAAAACCACCCTTGAATGATGGGATAGTAGACTAAAAGCTTTAAGAATCCAAACTATAACATATAAGTACCCTGTATCAAGATTGATGCAAAACAAGTGACATTTGACCTTTTTAGAGAAATGTAGCACACAAAAACACTTCTGGGGTCATTTTGGTGGATTTGACCTATCTCTGGCCCCCCTTGGTCGATTCTGATGATTGACATCTCTTTTTAACCGTTAGAGCCAATAGAATCAAGGAGAAGTTCCACATACACACACGTTACCAAATAAAGAGTGAGAGTGACGCCTAGCCTACCCAAAACAGGAAGCTGTCATACACTCTGGAAGCTATCATTAGCAGCTAATATGAAAACTCAGTTTTTGACATAAAAATGGAATTATGGATTATCAATAATTTTTTCAAAGTGACACAGACACATTGGATTAACCTATGGATTAACCTTCAGCTGCGTTTTTTCTCGTTTTAATGCCATTGAACACGACTTTTGATCAGAATAACAGTAAAAGGTGAGCATATCTGCGTTTTTTGCTACCTAAAGCTACGTTGTGTGTTGTCTGGTTTTGCTTCCCCTGTCGCGAGTTCTGATTGCTCAGTGATGATACTTATATTTCTAGAATCTGTGGAATCTCAGCTTGCTAGCAAAGCTTGTTTGTGCAGATCCGATAAGTATATCGATCGATTTATACCTAGAGTTCTGTGATAAATGCGTTAGCATTTTCTCGCTCACGGCTCATTTAGACGCTTATTGTGAGACTTGTTTTGTTTCTGTAAAAATAGTGAATTCATAGTTTATTACATTTTAAGAAGCCCAAACACAGTTCCGTGAAAAAAGGTAAATTCCCAATTACTTTACATGATTGACAAGTTAACTTTAATCCCATTACTCAATATCCTGAGAGCATAGACACTTTTGTCTGGCTTCCGTGTCCTTAAAGGTGACCTTCTTGTTTCTCCTGGGGTCAGTCCAGGAGTTATGGATGACTAAATTGTTGGGTGTAGGGTCAGCTTCTACCACAGACACCATCCTCTTCTTCATCTTGCTTTTCAAAACTTTTTGGAATTTCTGTCGCGTGAAGGCATAGAGGAGGGGGTGAAAGATAGTGGTTCCATAGGCCATCACCAGGAAGCCTAAGCGGAGGCGAACAGTTAAATCACTGGGCCCAGTGCTGAGAAGGATGGTGTTTAGCACGGTTATTGGAGTCCAGCAAAGTAAGAAGGTGGAGATGATGAGAAGAGACATCTTGAAGACCCGTCTCTGCCTCTCCCGTCTCTCCCGATGTCGCTTGACTGCTCGTCTTATTGCAATGATGACGGACACTGACGCTTGCATGCCCAAAGGTGCAGTCCCACCTGCCCGGACTCCTGTGCTGCTCTGTGACGCGTCTGTTGACTCGACTTGAGTCGCAGTGCTCAAAGAGATAGTGTTTTTACTCTTTTGCTTCTTTTTAGGAAGGTTCTGCTGAAAGCGTGTTCCAATGCGAATATTAAGTGCCTGAAGGATCTTGTAGTAAGTCACTAGCATTACTAAAGCTGTAAAAAAGAATATAGGGATCTGTGCTAGTAGGTGATAGTACAAACCAAGCTCTGTGTAATACTCATTAGTATGAGACACTGTGACAACTGCAGTCTGGTTCACAAACTCTGAATCAGAGTTGATGAAGAATCCCACTTCCATAAATGGAACCAGGAAACTGAAAAAGGAGAGAGCCCAGATGGATCCCAGTAGAACCACAGCTCGGCCCATTGTAAGCACACGGTTGGCCGGCCGCACTAAGATGTCATAGCGGTCTACAGTGATGGCCAGGATGGTTGAAGCAGTCGCTACACTTGCAAACGAGACGCAGGCCTCATGGAAACAGCAGATCATGGCTGTGTCCGCCTCCAAAGGAAGGAACACCACCACGGCTGTCAGCGGGATACAGCATATACACACCTGAAACAAGACGGGAATTTAAGTTATATCCCACATTACGTTCTTTTTTATATATTTTGTTTAGCACCAGTTATAACTAGAACCAAAGCTGTTGTGATGCAATGCGATGCCACAACATGTTTTGACATGCCAATAAAGCTATTTGAATTGAAAGTAATGAGAACGGAGCTAAGTTGATTAGTGTGCTGCTCAAGCTAACTTTCTCTTGGCGCCTCAGCAGAGCAGAGATCTCCTCCAGCTCTAGTGTGCATGCGCCATCCTGACATGCAGTCTGTTGAAGATGCTCCTGCTAATTTGTACTATTAACTTTTAGCCTTTTTTTTATCTTACTCGTTATGTTTCTATTTGTAACTTTTATTAATAACTAATTACGGTGTGACATCTCTAATATTTCTGTAGACAAAGATTTGTTTGTTTTCTTCGACATTGATTTTCTGCTGTTGTGCATCCACTCCGCTGTTGCACAGAAACTCCATGGTTGCCTTGTTTACACCAGGGAGAAGCTAATCACGCTAAAGCAGGCGAGCATAGTGGTTAAAACAACAGCTATCCCCACTGAAATCTGGAGGACAGAGAGGATGCAGGGCTAAACGAAGACGAAGAAGGAGAGTTGCGACCAGATTTATGCATAAAGGATATATAAGCTGTGTCTCCGCCGTCTTAACATGGGCAACCCAGGATCACTGGCTAATGGCATGGACGAGCTAACAGCATTAGCTAGGAGTCAAATGTTATATCTGGAGTGTAGTTTAATGTGCTAAATGAAAACACGGCTGCACCTTATGGTCTGATGGTCTTACCTGCAGCAGGATATATCTGACAATAACGTTTTTTCTGCCTGTTCAGGTCACATTTTCATCAACAATATTTGCATCATTAACATTCCCAGCGTTCCATTTGATATGGTGCAACTGTCACAAAACACATTTTCCCCTGGGGTTTTTTAAGTATTTTTGATTGATCCATCGATCCTCTCTAGCATTCTGCTACCACAAATGTATTGCTGATGACATTGTTCTCTCAGACAATGCCATCAGCAATAAACTAGTGGCAGCAGACTGCTGTAGCTCCAGAAGTCTTAATATGCCAACCACTTGATGTTAAATCCCTTTGGCAATAACATAACTGATAAATGTAAATAGAGGTCAGGACTCACCAACACATCCACCACATGCAGGTTCATGGTGATGATGTTGGAGACGGAGCTGATCAGGTTCTGTTTCATACAGTAGAGGACAAGCACAGTCAGGTTGGAGCTCAAGCCCAAAACTATCTCCAAAACTAGGAAGCCTGTCAAAGAAACCTACCAACAGAAAGAACATGTTGGCATTAAGTGTCACATTCAATTATATTTTGGTCATAATAGTGCATGCTCATTGTAATGTGAAAAATATAATTCATACTTTATTAGCCAGGAAATCTTTTAAACGGTTTGTTAAAATATCATAAATCCAAGTTCACGACCCTACAATGACCTGGAAATGTACCAGTTTTCTAAAGATATCAATAGCTGAAATGTGAGGCTGCATCATTACCTGGAAGCTGACAGGGTAAATGGCCTTGTCTGAGGTCCTGTCAAGGTCATAGGGGTCAGCAGTGTCAAGCACAGTCATGTTGCTCATGGTGTCTGCAGAGAACCACACTGGGGATGTGTGCATTATCCTGGTAATAGGATGAGGCCTGGAGAACAGATGGCAGACAAAAGCTGTATTCAACACATATTCAAAACATGTGGCATTCCATTTTTTAAAACAGAGATTTGGTAAACCGTCAGGACCAGGGAACTTAAAGCTGGTGCTGCCTTGGCAATGGGCTTCTGATAATATGGTATTCACCTCACATCCTACCATTGTTTTTTAAATATCAACACCTAAAGAGTTAAGCTCATTTAAAGCTAATGCACCAGCACTTACAATGGTATGGCTTATTTGAATTGAATACATCTGCATTTTTCTTGTTGTTCTCAGTGTATCTTAATGGTTTATGCATTTATCCTAAGTCGTTTTGGCTAAAGGTGAAAGCTAAATGAAATGTATTAACAATAATAACAATATGTTTAAAAAATAAATCTACTCTTAGTACTATAATTCATGAAGTCACCATATCATTGGGATTCAGGGTTCATTGGTGATTTCTTCAGAATGCTTAAATACTATTTGGAGGGAAACTGTTTTCTGTGACAACACCGCTATCGCAAACATTAAAAAGATTTCAAAGTGTTTTACTCATTGTACACCTTCGCTATATTTTGCACAAAAACACCAAACACCATTTTCTTTTTTGTAGAATGTGAAGTCTGTGACCATATTGATATTAGAACGCTGTCAACGTCAAGTACTATATAACAGGAAATGTGCCATACTAATTTGCAGATCGTTTTGCGGCATATTGTTTTAATTGTCTAAGGCTAATATTTTTGCAACCCTTTGCCACCTTTCAAACATTGGCATTGGGGGTCTGCGTCAAACTAAATGTGAAGGTCCACCCCCTTAACACAGGCATTGTGTACCAGTGTACAGATATGAGTACATTTACAGGATTTGGCTTTCTCTCGCAAAGATTTTTGTTCTCCTTCTCAATGGCCAAAAGTTCCCTTCAGATGTAGTTGGATAACACATTGTACAAGAACAGGTTGAATCTTAACCTCCTGACACCCTTAGCCAAAATGACAGAGATATTTTTGTACTGTCTTAAACCCTCTCAGGATGACAAACAAGAATAATCTGACCAGAAAACAAGCCATTTGAGAGTTATGGTATGAACAAACCAAATGCAAGAATCCTATATTATTTTTTCATGAACCTTGGTTCCCCTAAGGCAGGGGAGTCAAACTCAAGGCCCGGGGGCCAAATCCGGCCCGCGACTTCATTTTATGTGGCCCACAAGAGCTTGCAAAGAATATAATACGTTTATTATACGGTTCGATGGCACTTTACAGAAGCAGGTTGCCCATAAACTACATGTCCCACAATTCATCTCGTTTTGCGCACTGAAGAGAGTTGCAATTATTTACCCTGGACTTCTGCTTTCAGACGTAGATAATTACTAAGTTATTACCTTAACCGATAATAATCCAATTCAGAGGCAATAATGTAATATAACACATTATTTTATATATCTATTTTGTATTTATATATGTATATTTATATAGTTACAACCGGCCCTTTGAGTGCAACCATAATGCTAATGCGATGAAATTGAGTTTGACACCCCTGCCCTAAGGTTTGGACTGAAAATAACTGAGTATATGTTTGATATTGGGCGGAAACTCACCACTGCCTCCCAACAGTGTCCTCTACAGTTTAGCAGCAATCGAAGCGACCAGAAGGAACTTTGTAGGCCATGTCAAACCATCCCACCATATTCTGACGTGAAAAGATGGCTCTTCACTTGATCCAATTGATTTACAACAATCTCTTTTGAACATATTTCGATTTGACGGACAATAAAGATAAAAAATCTTCCATGAGTTTTTGCTTTGGGGATAGTAACACCACTCAGCTAAAGGGAAAAGTCTGTTTGTGAAACACAGAGAGCTATGTTGGGGGACATGTGGCTGGCAACATCAGTGCTGTGCACTCTCATCAATGCTTCCTTTCAGGCATTGCTCTGTCATTGTCCAGGCCTTGGACTTTTGCCTTCAATCGCTTCCCTCTTGAAAATGATGCCAGTGACAACCCTACTGTCTCCACTTCTCTCCACTTTTCAGGTATTGGACGTGTCTCAATACGTCCCGAGGTGCTCCACCACACTTTGTCATCATGTCCTGATACAGGTAGAAAGTTCCAAGAAGAATAGTGTGTGTGGTTGCTCCTCTGGACTTGACCCATTTAAACCCTTCACATCGAGTTGCAATGAAGCCCAGATAGCAGTGTGTAGGTCATATCCTTGGAGAACAATTGAAAAGATTGATTCTTTGATTCTTGAACATTCACAGCCTTCATTTCCATTTAAATTCATAAACTGCACAAGAGGAATAGTGAATCATGTTATGACTTATTTTCATCATCTCCTTTCCTTATGCCACTTCTCAGACACATTCCACCTCTGATCCTGCAAAGGAGAAGCAGGTCATATTTCAGTTATATCAACCTGGCACGTCACAATCAGAGCCCCCCCCCCACGGTGTATATATATTGCATCATGTCTCCCACCTTTTTTTTAATTATTTGATCATCCCCTGACAGACTCCTTGTGTGCTAATTGGACGCCTGTTTCTGTTTTTAATCAGTTTTTTCCCTTGCCTTTTATCTTTGATGGTTCTTGTCATGTGCTGGTCAATAAATGAGCACTGAAAACAGTAAACTGGTTTCCTGCCGGCTGTCTTAGTCACTTTCTATTGACAGTACATATTGTAATTCAAATAATAAAAGCAACACGCAACACATTTTACAGCGGTTGATTCAAATCAACAACGGCTACACACCGGGAGATGAAGCAGCTGCAGATAAAGGTGACCTGTTGGAAGATGTATCCTTTACTTTGCAAAACGTATACGGCCCCCAACCAGCCAACCACCTACAGTATAACTATCAACAACCAGGTTCCAGAAACACCCCAGGCTGCATTTCTGTAGAGGTTTAAGCAAGGTATAATATATATATTTCAGATATTACTCTATAAATTAAATATCATTTTAAAATGAAAAAAACTGATGAGAGTTTTTTTTCCAATATGTTCTCACATTTTATAGACCAACAATTCATCACATAATAAACCACAATATAAGAATTCCTAAGTGCAGCCTTACACTAGCTCTAAGCCTTCATGTCCTGTCTTCACAGTCTTTTAAATGCACAAAGTGCAAAATTCTTTTAGCTGTATGTTCTACAACATGAATCTGTCCTGTGGGTGGCATTACACATTCTGATTCGTTTTGTGTTGTATGAGCTTTTCTACAACAGGAGAACTGGTCTCTGTGGAAGGCAGTGAACTCGGCTAACTCTTTTGAAGACCCATATTCATGCTGTTCGACAGCTACTCATTTTGTCTAATTATTCTATATATGTGTCAGCATGATTTTACAGTGCCTTTATGCAATACATTGCCTTGCAATCAGAACAGCAAAAACAGGTTAAGTGCATCATTGTGCCTTGTGTGTTCGCTTACCTTTAGAAAGAGACCATTCCTCAGTGAGCGGTGGCTCCATTGGGGTCCTTTCCGTCCCTGCTTTGTAATCTCAATCCCCAAAGGTTGCATAGAGCCCACAGGTGATAAACCTGAGTGGCTGAGGTTTAATATCGTGCATCATTCAATGATGCTTGTTAGTGAGTCCCTTCAGGATAAAACTGGACAGTAAGAAAGCGGCATCCACAGAGCCAGAAGAGATCAGATACTGCCGCTCCGCCTTGCTCACTCTGCTCCTCTCTCGCTCTGTCGCTCTGTGCATCTGTCTCTGTCTCTCTGTTTGTCTTTCTCTTTCTCTCTCTCTCTCTCTGTCTCTCTGTGCGTCTCTCTCTGTCTCTGTCTCTCTGTTTGTCTTTCTCTTTCTCTCTCTCTGTCTCTCTGCGTCTCTCTCTGTCTCTCTCTCTCTGTCTCTCTGCGTCTCTCTCTGTCTCTCTGTGCGTCTCTCTCTGTCTCTGTCTCTCTGTTTGTCTTTCTCTCTCTCTCTCTCTGTCTCTCTGTTTGTCTTTCTCTTTCTCTCTCTCTCTCTCTGTCTCTCTGTGCGTCTCTCTCTGTCTCTGTCTCTCTGTTTGTCTTTCTCTTTCTCTCTCTCTGTCTCTCTGTGCGTCTCTCTCTGTCTCTCTGTTTGTCTTTCTCTTTCTCTCTCTCTCTCTCTCTGTCTCTCTGTGCGTCTCTCTCTGTCTCTGTCTCTCTGTTTGTCTTTCTCTCTCTCTCTCTCTGTCTCTCTGTGCGTCTCTCTCTGTCTCTCTGTTTGTCTTTCTCTTTCTCTCTCTCTCTCTCTGTCTCTCTGTGCGTCTCTCTCTCTCTGTCTCTCTGTTTGTCTTTCTGTCTCTCTGTGCGTCTCTCTCTGTCTCTGTCTCTCTGTGTGTCTTTCTCTTTCTCTCTCTCTGTCTCTCTGTTTGTCTTTCTCTTTCTCTCTCTCTCTCTCTCTCTCTGTCTCTCTGTGCGTCTCTCTCTGTCTCTGTCTCTCTGTTTGTCTTTCTCTTTCTCTCTCTCTGTCTCTCTGCGTCTCTCTCTGTCTCTCTGTTTGTCTTTCTCTTTCTCTCTCTCTCTCTCTGTCTCTCTGTGCGTCTCTCTCTCTCTGTCTCTCTGTTTGTCTTTCTCTCTCTCTGTCTCTCTGTGCGTCTCTCTCTGTCTCTGTCTCTCTGTTTGTCTTTCTCTTTCTCTCTCTCTGTCTCTCTGTGCGTCTCTCTCTGTCTCTCTGTGCGTCTTTTTTTCTCTCTCTCTCTGTCTCTCTCTCTCTGTCGGTCTTTCTCTGTCTCTCTGTTTGTCTTTCTCTTTCTCTCTCTCTGTCTCTCTGTTTGTCTTTCTCTCTCTCTCTCTGTCTCTCTGTGCGTCTCTCTCTGTCTCTCTGTTTGTCTTTCTCTTTCTCTCTCTCTCTCTCTGTCTCTCTGTGCGTCTCTCTCTGTCTCTGTCTCTCTGTTTGTCTTTCTCTTTCTCTCTCTCTGTCTCTCTGTGCGTCTCTCTCTGTCTCTCTGTGCGTCTTTCTCTTTCTCTCTCTCTCTCTCTGTCTCTCTGTGCGTCTCTCTCTCTCTCTGTCTCTCTGTTTGTCTTTCTCTCTCTCTGTCTCTCTGTGCGTCTCTCTCTGTCTCTGTCTCTCTGTTTGTCTTTCTCTTTCTCTCTCTCTGTCTCTGTCTCTCTCTCTCTGTCGGTCTTTTTCTGTCTCTCTGTTTGTCTTTCTCTCTCTCTGTCTCTGTGCTTCTTCCTGCCTCTCTCTGTGTCTGCCTCCAGTAGCCCCCTTACTCCCTCTCTGAAACTGTCTTATCCTTCTAATTTCCCCCCCACCAGGATTTCCGTTAGCCGGTAATTACCGGTTTTTAGCTGGTAACATTTATAAAAAAACGGTAAATTCAAAACCTGACGGTCAAAATGTCCGGTAATAATTAGGGATGCTCCGATCGATTGGCCGCCGATCATTATCGGCCGATATTCACTCTTAATAGTTTGATCGGTAAAATAAATTATTTCCGTACATTTGACCGGCAAGAAAAAGTCCTAGCAGAAACCCTGCCCTTCACACCTCTGTGCTTGACTAATTGGACTCACAAAGCTAGTGGAAGTGTTCTTCCTCTCATTTGTTACCTTTCTGTACCTTTGTGCTGACTGTAGTAAGCAGAAAACCTCTCTAATGCAGGGATAACACAGATCTCTTTTGGTTTCAAATCTTTGTTTTTTTTCTCCTTTTACTCCTTCTCAAGTTTGTTTTCCCTCATGAGCCCAGGTAGGAAACTGTGACCATGACAATACTATTGGCAGCATCCTTCCTCTTAGGACTTTGGCCACTCCTCCTCCGTTTGTGTTTGCATTGCAGCTGCTGGATGGTACCTACCTAATAGTCCCAATCTGGCTACCATTAGTGCAGTGGATGTGTTGCCTTTATTGCCTGGCGAGTATATCTGGAAGGTAGCTAGTGAGTAGCCAAGGCTAATAGGCATTGGCATGGCAACAGCCATGTCAGCGCACACTGATGGATCAAATGCGAATCATGGCTGTCTCCTGTATTCTGGGTTACACCTGTCCACTGATAACACAATAACTACTGATGTTGCACATCTCCCATGATTTGGTCATTGTATCTCAGTGCTTCATCTCTCCCTCTACATGTGTTTATTCAGAGAGTGTAAGCAGAGATGATGGTGTCCAGTCTTATGTTTTTACTGTCATGCACAACACATCAGGAGGCATTTCCCCCCAGACACCAGTCTTTGGTGAGAGAAAGATACATGGCAGACAGCAGGATTATGGAGAGGGAAAAAAGATATTTGCAGACATTTTCCTTCTCAGTTTATTACAGTAACCATATTGAAGACACATCAGATGCTCTTTTATTACTTTATTACTTCATATTCTGCCTTTTGATGAAGACGACGTCTTGTCACCAGGGCGCATCACAGCCTATTTCTGACTTGAAAAGTTGAACTGCTTTTTACTCACAGCTGTAAGGCCCTGGTTCTGAACAATAGGCACTTGAGCATAGACAACAGTGGAGTAGAACACGTAGAAAGAACATGTGTAGGGCCCCTTGTGAAGCACAAATAATATCTTTCCTCATAACAAAATTATTGAGTGTTCTTGTGGTACGCTCTGGCAGCACTACACGTGGATCCTTTTTCACCTATCAGTGTGCAACCTAAATGATGATGTTTAAAGGAATACCATCCATCCATCTTCTCCCGCTTATCCGTGGTCGGGTCGCGGGGGTAGCAGTTCCAGCAGAGAGCCCCAAACGTTCCTTTCCCTGGCGACATCAACCAGCTCTGACTGGGGGATCCCAAGGCGCTCCCATGCCAGCGAAGAGATATAATCCCTCCACCTGGTCCTAGGTCTACCCCTTGGTCTCTTCTCAGCTGGACGTGCCTGGAACACCTCCCTAGGGAGGCGCCCAGGTGGCATCCTAACTAGGTGCCCGAACCACCTCAACTGGCTCCTTTCGACGCGAAGGAGGAGCGGCTCAACTCCGAGTCCCTCCCTGATGACCGAACTTCTCACCTTATCCCTAAGGGAGACACCAGCCACCCTGCGGAGAAAACCCATCTCGGCCGCTTGTATCCGCGATCTCGTTCTTTCTGTCATGACCCATCCTTCATGACCATAGGTGAGGGTAGGAACGAAAATGGCCCGGTAGACAGAGAGCTTTGCCTTCTGGCTCAGCTCCCTTTTCGTCACAACGGTGCGGTAAAGCGACTGCAGTACCGCTCCCGCTGCTTCCGATTCTCCGGCCCATCTCACGCTCCATTGTTCCCTCACTCGAGAACAAGACCCCGAGATACTTGAACTCCTTCACTTGGGGTAAGGACTCATTCCCTACTTGGAGTGGACAGTCCATCGGTTTCCTGCTGAGAACCATGGCCTCAGATTTGGAGGTGCTGATCCTCATCCCAGCCGCTTCACACTCGGTTGCGAACCGATCCAGTGAGTGCTGAAGGTCGCAGACCGATGAAGCCATTAGAACCACATCATCTGCAAAAAGCAGTGGTGCAATCCTTAGTCCACCGAACTGCAGACCCCCTCCCCCACGACTACGCCTCGAAATCCGATCCATGTATATTACAAACAGGATTGGTGACAAAGCACAGCCCTGGCGGAGGCCAACCCTCACCGGAAATGGGTCCGACTTACTGCCGAGGACCCGGACACAGCTCTCGCTTTGGGAGTACAGAGATTGGATGGCCCTGAGTAGAGACCCCCTCACCCCATACTCCCGCAGCACCTCCCACAGTAACTCCCTGGGAACTCGGTCATACGCCTTCTCCAAGTCTACAAAACACATGTAGACCGGATAAGCGTACTCCCAGGCCCCCTCCAGGATCCTTGCGAGAGTAAAAAGCTGATCCGTCGTTCCACGACCAGGACAATATAATACTAGTATATATATTGTAAAGGAATCATGTTTCTAACACTCAGAGCTAACGCTATACTGGAGAGAGTATGTGTAAAGAAGCTGGATATAAAAGGTACTCACCTTCTGGTATTCCCAAGAGAGAGAAAGCATTTGAGCTCCATACTGTTTTAAAAATAATGCTTGATGTGGTTTGGAACATAATATGGGTTTAAAAACGGCTATATTTCAAACGGCTTTTTCCAGCCATCAGCAGTTTCATGTTGGTGCATTCCTCTGCTATCTGCTTGTGGGAGCGAACATATTATCTAACTTCAGCGTTCACAAACAAAGAAGTCACAACAGAGTTTACAGAAACAAATCCTATCCCCACAATTGAATGGAATGTTTAGAGTCCCCATTTCTTTTATTTGCAACAATATGAATAATAGCATTAAGAAAACAGTTGACCCCACACGGCACGGAGTTGAGGAGAGCGAGATATGGATGACTTTTGGTGTTTCCTCTTCATAAATGGCTCTGATAAGAACATCATAATAGCGCTGACCACTGTGTGGACTCCACAATCCCCTTCAGTATGAGCCAGTTTTATAGTGATGTTCTTGGTGTGGACGGTCTCTCTACGCTCTGCCATGTGACTGATTTAGCACAGAAATAAGGGCACATCTTTTCACATCCTCTGGGAAGCAAGCTGCATGTCTTCAAGCATGGCACATCAGACTGAGCACATTAAGCTTCCTCTTCCCCCCCTCCTCTCTCACAGAGAAACTCAGAGCTCCACTGGTTGCTTCGTATCTCTGGCAAGCTTTGTAGTTTGGTCAAAGGTGGCTCCTGTCCAATGCCCTGGTTTCCCTTATATCTCTCTCTGTCTTTGTCTCTAGAAAAAGAGCAAAACATCTCGAGCTATAGATACATAATTCCATGATTGAATATCAGTCCTGGGAGGGAGCCGGCCCCTGCACTCCCCTCCTCTCATTATGGGCTGTAGATTACTCTGTACATTTTGTTTTGATTTATGAAGAGCGTTTGGCTGATGTCATTCCATTTTAGGCGTTGCACTTGTTTGATCATATCAGAAGCAGCTGAGTGTGTACCCTGCTGTTAAAATCAAGTATATGATTAGAATCCTGACATGCCCTTACTCCTTGGAGCAGGATTGTTTTTTGGGAGATGATCATTTTGATGCAACAAACCAAAGAAATAGCGAATCAGGTTACAGATTAAAAAACTAAATTGTAATGCATGTACCTAAATGTTTAGTGTCACGCACACATAGATAATTATATACATTTAGGATTAACAAATGTCATGCATACATCCCAGCATGCGGGAAGAAAAAAACCCCAATGGCTTATTGGAGTGACCACTCCAATGACCTGGTCACGCACACACGGTCACTTGCTACAGTACATGGGCGAGGTCTGTGCTAAAGCACGACTACTGTGCACAGCTGCTCATCATGACCAGGTCATCTCCTGTAGCGTCGGGTAGCTTCTGTACAGTGTGGCCAGGAGGAGGAGTGACCAATCTGTTTAGTGAGTTCAGCGGAGACTATTAGAACGCTATCGAACGTGGACGGTCAGCTATCGCCCCTCTTCCTGTCCCCTTAGGAGAGACTGTGCACCCCGCTGAGGATATTATTCAACAACGCTGCGTTTCAAATGTGTATATGAGAGATTTTTACATATGTTTGTAAATGATTTTGGTTTCAGTTGTGTGTGTGAGAGTGTTTCACATGTATGTAAACGGTATTTCTGAATAATGTCCATAACGGCCCCTCATATTGTTAAGTCTTCAAATTGCATAATCACAGACTGGAAAATATAGAAATAACTTGAAAATGGAATACGTAATAACTTGAGATTTGTGTTTTTATGTGTGTCTTTCCAGACTACCTGTCGCAGGGTGTGGATCTGAGTGGGATTGAAGTGATTGAGAGCGACTTGCTGTTGATCAGCAGAGCTAGGCTGGAGGTGGAGAATCAGGCCAAGAGGCTGCTGGAGCAAGGCATGGAGATCCAGGTACAAACTCAACCCTCTCCACTCTGAACACGTTACCCTGGGGTTTATGATGCAACTACAACTGTGAACCCTGTGTTGAGAAGCAACCCATATCATATTTCATTCAAATATCATAATGAATAAATAAGTAGAAATAATTCTTCAAGAGATGTGTTTATATTGTCCAGTATATAGTTGTTAGTGATATTATTTACTGTTGTGAAAGTGTACATGTTTATTTACAGACTGGTGAATTTCTTATGCCATCACAGATGCCCTTTGTGTTTTTGGTGTCCTCCTAGTTCTTCCACTTTTTTTGTATTCTGATTTTTGTTAAATGAAATGTGATTAGATTTTTCTGTTGCTGGTTGTGATAAGAAGACGAACAAACATGGAAGAGCACTCTCTGTATGTGTTGTCCTGTGAAGTGCATGTTAGAGAGAGCATGTGTCGCTCTGTTAACCTTCATCTGGCCCTGAAAGCCTGGCTCTCCGGGGGCCAGTGTCCCATTAAAGATAGTGTGTGTCTGCTTAGTGTCCTTGATGACATATTGCCAGTGTGAAGAGGAGTGTGGTACGGTGCTCCAGCTTGGGCACTAGTGCTGCAGCCATGCTTTGCTTTGTTCATTAGGCATGTCTCTCTATGATCAGGGCAAATGTCACTGCCTTGAACTTAATGCCATGCCATAATTCTGGTGTCTCCCATACCAAAGTGATGACTTTAAAACAACACGATGTTTAGATACCTCTTTATGCTCCTATTTATTATAGTAGTGACATTCAGTTAAATACACATTGCTTTGCCAACACTTGGTTCATGGACAGTTTTTATTGTATAAGGCTGTATTATTGTCTTGGTACCTGGGGTTTTCAGGCCCTCATCTTCAAACTGTAAAATACTGTGTTCACTCAATCATTCATTTGAATCACATCTACTTCTACACATGTGCAAACTCTTTCATAATAAGTGCCTTCCCGGAAAGGGAGGGATTATGCCTTTTTTGCTACCTAAGGCCTTTTAATATAAATCATCTGTGCAGGAAGTGTTGAGTTGATTCATAGTAGCTTAACACTGAACATGTACCAGCTTTCTGGATTTGTGTTTTTTGACTGTGCGTGTGTGTACAGGCAGGTCACCAGGTCATGTGTGAAGCTGGGTACTGGGACTCCACAGTCCTCTCTAAAGTCTTAGCTTCTGGCTTTTACTCCCATGCCTAGACATTAGGCCGTTCTTTCTAAATTAGACACATTCACTCAGCTTGTTCTTTGTCTTTTGAACAGAAACACACAAAAACGCACACTCCTCTCTCCCCTGTGTTTTCCCCCTCAGTCAGTATTTTTAGACTAACTCCTGCTCGAGTAGCCTTGTTATGAACTTCTGTCACTCGTTATGTGTGTGACCATATGGGGCCACACACACACATACACACACACACGCACACGCACACACACATATGAGCTCAGGGATTTGATGATTGTGTGTTATTGACTTGGTTAGCAGTTGGACATGCTGGCCGGGCTGTGTGGGAGCTTGTTTCACATCAGTGCTCTGATTGTGCCAGCAGAGACCCCGGAGTCCATCTGTTGAGTGGGAGCTCCACTGACCCACGTAGAAAAACTCTCTTCTAACATTATTTGTCTGAAAAATGTAATTAACTGAATGCAATTAAATTCCAAACTTCTTTCAACAGAAGCTATATAAGAAGTGGCCATTGCAAACCTTGATTGAAGCTTGATTTAGATGATTACATTACATATTTTACATGACATGGTTTTTGTCTGACGCTTCTTAGTTGGTGAACAGTCAGGGATTTACATACACTTCAATACTATAGACATGCCTATGGGAGCAATGTGGGACACTTTCACATGCTGTCTGCTGAGGGTGGGATTAAACCGATGAGATCTATAAAAGTCTACACGTTTTCAACATGTACAGTATCAACTTGCAGATGCCCTTTCTTTGTTGTCCAAGGCCTAAAAAGCTCTTTGAAAAGCATTGATAATATATTTTTGCCTGGTCATTCAATAATGCACATGCATACTGTATGTACAGGACCCTCTAAACACCTCACATAGGGCTCTCTGAGAGCCACGTGTAATTCAAATTTGTGAATTTATAATGCAAGTATATGTTTGGTGTGTACATTTGTATCAAGTACTAAATAACAATATTTTGTACATTTAACGATATCTAAATCACCTAAACTGTATGTGTCCCTTTACAGAGTCATACATTTAAAAGATGGCAGATAAAATAAAATACTCTCTGCCACAGGCAGGCAGTGAAAAAAGGTAACTTCAGACAGTACAGCATCAATCTTATGCAGGCTAATTCCTACCAGTGAAAGAAAAGAAAAGATCAAAAAGAACAAAACAAAATATGCGATAATCGGAATATAAGGATATTTTAGAAACAATCTTAATTACTGCGTTGCTTCAAATGACTGAGAAGATGAAAACCAATCCGATGCCGATGTATTGTGTACGTTAGCCTAAAGACTGAAGCCGGATGGAAACAGCTAGCTGGACTCAGTTTCAAAACAAACCCATAGTAACGTAAAGCTCAGTGATCTACACACTGCGTATCATTTTTTGTATCTGTACACAGAGACATGTTTTATGGAGATGATAAACGTGTGTCAGTCAGGTGCTACAGCGCCCCCTCCTGTCTTCATCTGTTCCAGTGAGCTGTGAAGAGAAACCCTGCTCAATAACACGGTTCTTTCAACATTAAGTTCATCTAATGGCTATTACTAGCTCACTCTAACATTGCCACTGTATGGGGCTTAACAGAAAGGCTTTTTAACTTCTCTTTGCAAAAACGAAAAGTACGAGTTTGTCCATAATTAGAAAATAATTTGCGCCCCTCTCTGATTTTGTCATCTACATGTTCACAGTTCTCCCTCATTAAATCAATGTATGGTGATTTTAAGCTGCTGCTGTCTCACCTCCATACTCACTGGTGTGTGTGTGTGTGTGTGTGTGTGTGTGTGTGTGTGTGTGTGTGTGTGTGTGTGTGTGTGTGTGTGTGTGTGTGTGTGTGTGTGTGTGTGTGTGTGTGTGTGTGTGTGTGTGTGTGTGTGTGTGTGTGTGTGTGTGTGTGTGTGTGTGTGTGTGTGTGTGTGTGTGTGTGTGTGTGTGTGTGTGTGTGTGTGTGTGTGTGTGTGTGTGTGTGTGTGTGTGTGTGTGTGTAGTGTGTGTGTGTGTGTGTGTGTGTGTGTGTGTGTGTGTGTGTGGTGTGTGTGTGTGTGTGTTGTGTGTGTGTGTGTGTGTGTGTGTGTGTGTGTGTGTGTGTGTGTGTGTGTGTGGCCTAGCATTACTATACTTGTGGGGACCTAAATCTGTTTACACAGTCACGTGTGGGGACTCGCCTCCATTATGGGGACAAAATGGAGGTCCCCATGAGGGGAATCATTAATGTTAGGGTGAAGACTTGGTTAGGTTTAGGGTAAGGTTAAGGGTTAGGCATGTGTTTGGTTAAGGTTAGGATAAGTCTCCAGGAAATGCATGTAAGTCAATGTCATGTCCTCAGAAGTGATGTATACATGGTGTGTGTGTGTGTGTGTGTGTGTGTGTGTGTGTGTGTGTGTGTGTGTGTGTGTGTGTGTGTGTGTGTGTGTGTGTGTGTGTGTGTGTGTGTGTGGCCTAGCATTACTATACTTGTGGGGACCTAAATCTGTTTACACAGTCACGTGTGGGGACTCGCCTCCATTATGGGGACAAAATGGAGGTCCCCATGAGGGGAATCATTAATGTTAGGGTGAAGACTTGGTTAGGTTTAGGGTAAGGTTAAGGGTTAGGCATGTGTTGGTTAAGGTTAGGATAAGTCTCCAGGAAATGCATGTAAGTCAATGTCATGTCCTCAGAAGTGATGTATACATGGTGTGTGTGTGTGTGTGTGTGTGTGTGTGGGTGTGTGCGCGTGGGTGGGATTGAGTATTGACTGTGTCCTGATGAGGATAACATTAGATATTTCTCCAAATAAGTCCAATCATCTTCTGTTATTCAACCAGAAAGCACCAATGAGTATGTGTTAGTATTTTTTAAATTCTATCCAGGCTGTGTGGTGTGCCACAAACCACCTTGACTTATTTCTTCCTCTCCTTCCACCTGTCAGAATCCAACCCAGGTCGGCACGGCCCTCCAGGTCTTCTATAACCTCGGCAGTCTGAGGGAGACCATCAGTTCAGTGGTGGGGGGTTACAGGACAACCATAAAGGACAACATCAACAGTGCTCTGGACATCAAAGGTCTGACACAGCCCACCAACCCCAGAGGTGAGACTTAAGGAGGATGTGGCTCTGGGTACTTTGTCCTTATTTCTAAAAGAGGAGAAAGTGTGGCCCAGTTTATGAGTAGGCTCGATCCAGAATAGACATGGCCCCAGAGAATAGTCAATCCTGGCTGGAGGCGTGTGTCATTTTCATGGCTCTGATGAAGTGGCCAAATAATGTTTCTAATTATTGTGCATAATGCTTCCAGATAACAAGCTCTGAGGGGGCCTAGGATCGTTCCCCTGGTATTCTCTGCATTATATCACTAAATGAATTTGAAATGAGCAAAAGGATAAATGTGTCATGGTACTTTTTTGAAAGTCTGGTGATATTCCATTTTGTTGTTGTTCACCAAATCATTAAAAGTCCCAACCCAACAATGAATGTATTTACTAACCCATGTTTTATGTGTATCCAAAGCCTTATATATCTATTATATCCCATATAGCTTTTTTTGTCATAAAAACACACCAATGAAACACACTGCTGAACTGGGTGACATGTGTGTTCATTACCATTAACACACACACTGTAGTAATATAACTCGATACAGATGCTGTCCTCCAAATACTCACTAGAGCAACACATGCAGATGAATCTATCCCTGAATAGTCCCAAACATACGGACTGTCTCTTGCTGTTGGTGTAACCTTTGAACAATACTAATGGCTTTTTCAAAGAAATTGCTGACCCATTTTTTTTTCAAAGATAAAACTAGATATGTGTGTGGTGATTTTAAATATTTACGCACCAATGTGCTCTGAGTTTAGAACCCCTGATGGATTAGGGTTAGCAGGAGTTTAGAGATGGATTAACAAATTGTTAAGTCAGGTATTTCCATAGCTTTTGAAGTTAATAAGATAAATAAGACAAAATATGGCTATAAACTCAGAATAAAAAACAATATCAAGCTGGCCAGCAGAAAATATGTTTTCATTGGCCTTTGTCCCAAAAATCCTTAATGCTTCTCTGTGTCCCCTCTGTCCCTCAGCGGCCCCGGGCCGGGCAGTGCTGCCCACACCAGGCAACACGGCAGCATTCCGCGCCGCTCTGTGGACTCACCTTGAGAAACTGATGGACCAGATATGTGCTGCCTGCAGACAGGTACAGCCTCCCCAGCAGCTGACTGCACAGACATTAAAGTCGGCAGGACTCCTAATACAGGCCTAATGTCCTCCATATTTTCCAGGTGCAACATCTGCAGAAGGTCCTGCTGAAGAAGAGAGACCCTGTGACTCATGTGTGCTTCATCGATGAGATCATCAAGGTGGGTGGGCGCTACTGCTCTGCTCTTGGTATAATCCTAATAATTATGTTTCTCACAATCAAAATACAATTTCCACACACATTCAGGCATGCCGTTGCCCCATCATGTGCACATTACACAGCTAACTAGATGATGACAATGATGATATTAGTATTATTGCATTTGTGAAAAATGTTAAACGTAAATGGATGCATATACAAGGCGACAAAGCTTTCAGGGTCAACTGATTTTTCGCAAATAAAAAAAAAAGTTGGAACCAGGAGGATAGCAATGGTCCGATGGTATAATGGTCCATTATATTAGAACATCCCCGTAACAGTGGGTACCTGAAAAAACGTAATGTAATACCTTTAAGGCCCGGACACACCAAGCCGATTTTGGCCGTCGGTGGGCGTCAGGCCGAAAAACTGATTGGCTGTTCAGCTTAGCGAATCAGTGCATGAGAAGCGAAACGGAAGTGAGGGACCCAAACAAACTATTAAGAAGGCAAATCTGAGATTTCATTTAACTCCAGCTCTCGACACAGGTTCGGGAAAGCCCCACGAGCTTCTCGCTGTAGAGTGAAAATTAGTGATGTTACGTATTGCGCCGGCGCTTCGGAGCGTTTGTCGAGTAATCCCCAAAGCTTTTTGTGAAGCATGTATCGAGGCTCGTATTGTTTTGGGCCAGTGATACATGCATAAATAAATGTAGGAATGAAAACAAGAATGAATAAATACAGGAATAAATATGTGTGCTGTGGCTCAGCTGGAAAGCAGTTGACTCATGACCGCAGGGTCCCTGGTTCAACGACTGAACAATACATCTTCTTTGTTGTTTATAAAAGCTACAGCTAAATGAGATAATGTAGTTAATAAATAGTCTTTGATATGGTTTAGCCTTTCTCAGGCTACAACATGGTTAAGTTTATGAATATTATTAAGGAATACAAATCCCTCTTTGCAATGTTTACCAGCCTCCTTAGGCTTTTCAATCACAATCAATACACTGGAATAAATACAATATTGTTAAAATGAAAATATGATGTAATGTTCGTTGTTTAGAGTTATTCTAAGGCTTTACTCATTGGGAACTCGGTATGAGATGATGGAGCACACTGTTGAGATGTCCAATCTGCCTGTTTTACACACTTTGACCAACAGGGGGTTTGTGTTCAGATGAAGCCCATGATGAAGCCTCATGAGATGAACCCTTTAGCGATCCAATTGGCTGGAAAGCTTCAAAGCTTCATAAGGCTTCATCTCGCCATCACTAGTGAAAATGGAACGCACACGCTATTTGTTGTTTGTTTATATAACGCAGTCTGTCTTCCGGTTGTTGCCTCTTTTGAATGACGTATACACACTACCGCCGCCTGCTGGTAAGGAGAGTTATTGCCACTCACGCATGCGCAATTCGTACCTTCTTGGCCGTCGGCTGAAGTCTTTGCGGTGTGTTCCAGTGCGACACATGGCCAAAACGCAGAGATGCGAGGCGACACAACAGTCGGGGTCCGTCTGTGTCAGTTCTTTGGTGTCAGCTTGGTGTGTCCGGGCCTTTACATATATAATACACATTACATAGTTGACATCATGAAACATGACCTTACAAAACGACAGGGGCTAGTCTGTATTAGTGTAACCATGGTGAGTCCAAAACACACTGCACTATACAACACACACACTCCTGTCGCAGATCCAATCTCCCAACCTCTGCTGTCTCTTGCGTGTCAAACATGGATGAGCACAGATCTAAGTTGAGAAATATGACCTACAGTGGTGTTATTAAAATGATGAATGTAAAGGGGAAGAAAGACGTGCCCGGCCAGCTATAGTTCTGGAGATTTGCAGAATGCAGAATCTTCGAATGAGGAATTAGTCTTAGTGTCCAAATATGAATCAAAGTTAATATAGAACTGGAAGCATTTTAGCAAGCGTAGTGTAGAGACGTGCAGCAGAGCCACACGCTATATCTGTGCTAGGGCAGCAAACGGTGTCTTTCATCTTTACTCTCCTTAAAGAGGAACTATTTTACACATTTTGACTATCTGTCTAGGTATTCTGAGATTCCACTGAAAATATGAAGCCTTTAGTGTCTCGAGGGAGCTGAAGTATGGAGTCAGATCTGACTCCATACTGAAGTTTGATACAAGTTGGTTGGGTCTAAAAAGAAATCTGTGAGGGAAGTTAGAAAGTGAGCTTCCCAGGACTCTTGGGCATTTAGTTGGATTGGTGGTTATGATGGAAGTCATTAACATATCATCATGACTTTCATCAGTCCCACTCTCTTACCTCCACAGACGCCTAGAAGTACAAATCAGTGCAGCAGACTGTTGCTATGGAAGCAAAGCTCTCACCAATTCCACAGAGATAGAGGTGTGAGATGGAGACCTAATGACATGTCTAAATGCAAAACTCCTCAGCTGTGCAGCTTCACTATCTCCCTTCACTGTGCCACAGAAACATATCAAAACCTACACAAATCTCCTGTTACCATGTATTGTCTGCATCATGGTTTCCTGTAGCATTAAGATTCACCTTCAGTGGAGCTAGTGGGCCCAGACCAAAGCAGAAAAAGAAGCCCTGATAGCATTGATGTTTTGTTATTTTCTGTTCATCTCACATACCGTTGGGAAAAGAGGCAGTAAGAGGAGGGAGTGGTGGTGCTGTGTGTGAGGAGGAACAGTCCCACAGCTGGGCAGCAGACCTGCAACAGGCTTCTCTAACGGAGGACTAGAACAAAATACACACATGTCCAATTCCATGAAGTCATGGAGACACTGTCCTCAGTCAGGCTGGTTGTGGTGTGTGAGTGTGTCGCTGTCTGACAGCGCTATCCGCTCTTATCTTTGATAACTGTTACACAGTCTTATACTCATGCAGAAGGTGCATGATGATGAAGAATGTGTGCAGTGAATACCTCAGTGATGGCCGTTTCCATAACATTGTGATGATCACATTATTGATTTTGCTGAATATTGTGATTGCTAATATTATCCAGGTTTATTAGTCTTGATTTGTTTCATTTTTTGTTGCAGGTTTGCACATCAACACACACATTCAGCACACAACACAACTGTTTATTAGCTATATAGAGACATTATTATTTGCCAGGTTTCTTTACTAGTTTGTTTATGCACATCTCAGAAGTGCACTGTATTGAGTCTTCAGCCAGTCTCTGGTCAGAGGCTCACTCTGTACAAAAAGGATCCATTCATTACATTTCCAGAATAACAATGATACAAGCAAAATATCATCTGAAATGGACTTAAGGGAAATCTCAATATGCACCAGACAAACCTGGAAAAAGAGTCTAAACGTGTTTCCCATCAAACGCCAACACATGTCACTCACAAAGACTACAAGGACATGTGGTGACCAGCGTGTCTCTCTTCTGTCTGAGGACAGGATGGACAGCCTGATATCCTCTACACCTTCTGGACTGATGTCACCAGCACCCTCAGTGAGGAGTTCCACAGAGCGACTGAAGGTAGGACTGCTGCTTCTCCTTCCCCGCTGTCCCCCCTCAAGCTCCTACTTCAGAGGAAAGATGAATTAACCTAAGAGTTTAAATCTTGAATGTTTTCTCTCCGACAGATGGTAGATAGCGGCTCCAAACAAACAGTTAGTGGGAGGTCTCATTTAGTGAGCGATTATCATCTGGCTGTAACGAGCTCAGCTGACAACAGAACAGAAATCAATGGGGCTGGGGGTAATGAAAGGCCTGTTGTCCACGAAGCCATCAGCACACAGCAGTCTCATTGAACCAGTGTCGGCCTGTTGTACCACCTTAGTTTGTGTTAAAGGGAAAAACACGTCTTTTCTTTGGATGTGAATCCAGTCTTGATCATCGATGTCGAAGCTATAATTCCTGCGTGCTATATTGATTACATTTCAGTACAATGGAACGTTTAGGTTTAGGACGTTCTTTTTGTTCTTGCATCTACCAGTCATACACTAGAGATCCAAGCTAGAACAGATGTAGTTCTTAAGGTGTCCAATTCCATCAATGTAACGAATGAATGCAGGAACTGCAACACACTCCATAGCAGCAAACACCCTTTCCACAGTCATTATAACACACACACTGTTCAATGTGTGTGTGTGTGTGTGTGTGTGTGTGTGTGTGTGTGTGTGTGTGTGTGTGTGTGTGTGTGTGTGTGTGTGTGTGTGTGTGTGTGTGTGTGTGTGTGTGTGTGTGTGGTGTGTGTGTGTGTGTGTGTGTGTGTGTGTGTGTGTGTGTGTGTGTGTGTGTGTGTGTGTGTGTGTGTGTGTGTGTGTGTGTGTGTGTGTGTGTGTGTGTGTGTGTGTGGGATTGAGTATTGACTGTGTCCTGATGAGGATAACATTCTCCGAATTTTGAACAAATTGTTCATCTTAAAAATTAGACAACGTAGATGCACACACGCTTCCTTTCTCATATGAAGGCGTTTCAGTGGACTGTTTGTTTGTGTGTGTCTGTGTGTGTATGTATATATATGTATATATATATATATATATATATATATATATATATATATATATATATGATAAATATGAAAGAAGGACATGCTTGTTAATATCGAGTAAATACAGTAGCATGATTTCTGATCGTGGTCCCTCCTACACCCTTCTAAAACCACACGTTGTAATTATACTCTTTTTTCTGTGTATTTAACAAACACACAAGATGCTCCGCTTTAGCTTTTAAGGTTTATAAGAATGTATATTAGGTATATTAATGCTAGCTATCTAACTGCTTCCACTCTTTATGCTAAGCTAGGCTAACCACATATTGACTCCAGGTAACAGACATTTTATTTTTATCAAGTCATAACTTGACTTAACTTTTAATGAAATGTTGATGTTTTAATTTAGCATATTCATGTATTGACCTATGTTTTGTTTTTTAATGGAATTAAATACAGATGTTTCTTCCTGACTTTGCTCACTCTTTGCTTTCCTCAGAATTATGATATGGTATTAGCAGCTTCCTGAGTGCCTGTGTGTATTTGTATCTACTCTTTAGCCTCGTCCTTCCTGAAGCAGGCGTTTGAAGGAGAGTATCCGAAGCTGCTGCGCCTGTACAACGAGCTGTGGCGGCGCCTGCAGCAGTACAGCGCCAGCCTGCAGGGGGCGCTAACCAGCGGTGCAGGAATAGAAGCTTCTTTGGACATCAGCGCCACAGAGTCAGACACCCAGGACCTCTTCACACATGGAAAACAGGACTACAAGTGAGCACACACAGACCACGTTCACCTGTTCACAGAGAACACACACGCATTTGAAGTGTTCCATTAATCAGCACAGGTGTTTGGGGCCACTTAGAGGATATTTGACATCAACATGAGACACAAAACACACAGTGCATATCATGAGACCACGTAGATTTGAAATGATGGTTTTCTCAAACATCTTAATCCCTTAATCACACATCACTCGTGTGTGTGTGTGTGTGTGTGTGTGTGTGTGTGTGTGTGTGTGTGTGTGTGTGTGTGTGTGTGTGTGTGTGTGTGTGTGTGTGTGTGTGTGTGTGTGTAGTGTGTGTGTGTGTGTGTGTGTGTGTGTGCTGTGTGTGTGTGTGTGGGTGTGTGTGTGTGTGTGTGTGTGTGTGTGTGTGTGTGTGTGTGTGTGTGTGTGTGTGTGTGTGTGTGTGTGTGTGTGTGTGTGTGTGTGTGTGTGTGTGTGTGTGTGTGTACGCACGCAGCCCAGAGAAGGCTCTGAAGGACTCTCTGCAGCCGTACGAGTCCGCCTACCTCTCCAAGTCGCTCTCTCGCCTGTTTGATCCCATCAACCTCGTGTTCCCCATGGGGGGCCGCAACCCCCCCTCCAACGACGAGCTGGACAGCATCATCAAGACCATCAGCAGGCAAGCAGCATATCTGCCCGATGTGTTCCATTAGATGTGATGCTGCACAACCAGGACAGCAAGAAGCACAGTTACTGCACACACACACATCAGAATTATACACATACATATTCATTCATAATATATGATGAATTAATAAAATAGATAATCAATGTAAAAACTATAAAAGAACAATTGAACGAAAGTTAAAATGCAAGCCGTATAAAGAAGCTTGAGCCTGAACCATCCCAGTGATTGGTGTAGCAGCACAGTGTATATACCGTCATACAGCTGTCACCATATCACAGTTACACCACACAAATATCATAACCAACTTTTTTTTTCAAAAAGAATATTATGGCAATATGTATAGAACATTTGAGGACAGAAAATAGTCAAATGAATCTTGAACTGGGTTTATTGTGCATTTTGTCTGATTTAAGAGGTGCCAGATTATACAATACACAATATATATTAATTGTCATTTTTATGCTCAGTAAATGCTGAACGTTGAAATACGCAACTATTTGATATCAAATTTGTTCACCAATTTTAACCAATCAAATCAAATATGAACCTCTGCATTGATGGCAGTAAAAAAGGCTTGAATGTCTTCAGGGTCTGACCAACCAATACATCATCAGTCTCTCCCCAGGGCTCACACATGTGGTATTATTTAGGAAAAAAATACACATGCGTTAATCGCGTTAAAATAATTAGTGGCGTTAACTTGACAGCCCTACATTATTTGAATGTTTTGGAAATGTGTCTTATTTATGTGTTTGTTTGTTTGCAGTGAGCTGAATGTGGCATCAGTAGATCCAAACCTGGCTCTGGCTGTGTCCAAGAACGTTGCCAAGACAGTCCAACTGTTCTGTGTGAAGAGTGAGCAGCTGGTAGGACAGTCAGCGTCTGACACTGCGTCTCTGGGTCTTCATGGGTTCATAACACCATGATGTGTTTTCATGGATAGAGACATCCGCAGTGCGAAATACAAAGTGTGATTTATTGCAATTGGTTCTATATTGTCTCATGTCTGCCCACAATGCACTGCTCCCTGTGTGTCTCTCTGCAGCTGTGCACTCAGGGGGAATGCAGCCAGGTGATTGGTCCGTTAACGGAGGGCCAAAGGAGGAATGTGGCTGTGGTCAACTCCCTGTACCGTCTGCAGCAGGCTGTCAACAAGGTCAGAATCCTGCCGTCTACTCAAGAATATACAGAGGCTAGCAAAAGTATCCAACCCCCCCAACATGTGTTGGATTTGTCTGAATCACAAATGGTCAGGTCAGGTCATTAAGGACGAGAGTTTTTGGTGAGTTATTAAGCAATTGAGTCATTAAGAAAATGTAGTTCACTTTTATTTCGAAGTGTGTCAGTTGACCTGGATCCTAACTGGTACATTGTTGCTTCTTTAAGATGGTAACGGTGCCACACACAACAGCACACACTGCTCTCTGACTGCATGTGATTGGTTTCATACCTAAAGACATGTTGCATAACCACAGAAACACAGATACCCGACATAGGGCGAAGGACAGTGGGTGGGATCAGCCTCCAGCATTCAACATGTTTGGTGACCAGACACTGCAGCCCGCCGGATTACTACAAACACATTACTCCAGCATTAAAGGTTTATCCTCGAGCCTTTAAAATGTTACTGTGCGAAAAATAGAACAAATGTATTGAGGATTTAGGAGGGATACATATATTGTAGGACATTTCTGTACTATTGAGCATTAACCACACCTTTCTCTGTTGAATAACTGCACCCCTATCACTGATTCCATAAAGCGCTTCCTTAGTTCCTTCTGTTCTTCTGCAAAGGTCCTCAAACAGATTGAGCATGGTTTGTGTGTGAGCAGCATATCTCCTATTCGAAACATGTGAATGCTGCAGTGTAAGGTTTGGAGCAGCCGTCCTCTCTGGGTTCTCACGTGTCATCAGAAGCCTTTTGGAGTCAGCATATGATGCTCCAGTGTGCCCGCTCCTTTCCTCACTTAACATCTTCTGTGCTCTTAAAATATACAACAACGTGTAGAATTACAAAGAAGATACACAACTCAATCAATCAATCAATGTTTATTTATATAGCCCAATATCACAAATGTTACATTTGTCTCAGTGGACTTTACAGTTTGTACAGAATATCAGTATGACAATACGACACCATCTGTCCTTAGACCCTCACATCGTACAAGGAAAAACTTCCAGAGAAAACCCACAGTTTAAAGGGAACATGGGAGAAACCTCAGGGAGAGCAACAGAGGAGGGATCCCTCTCCCAGGACGGACAGACGTGCAATAGATGCCGTGTGTAAATTGAAAAGATAATACATTTGCAACATAGGTAGTCCAAATGTTTGGAAATGCATGTGTGTATAATAGGAAGATGAATCCACGAGGATATCCATCCAGGACCTATGATCCAGGACCACAGCCACGACTCAAGATCCAGGGCTCGCGATCCAGGACACAGGACCGCAGGATCATCCATGACTCCGGATCCCGGCGTATATAGACACCAAAAAGAAAGACATTTGGGGAAGCTGGGTTAATCGGAACATGAGAGTACACAGGTATAGACAGAGAGAAGGAAGAAGTAAGATGTCCCCCGACAAACTAAGCCTATATCAGCAAAACTAGGGGCTGAATCTAATCAGCCCTAACTATAAGCTTTATCAAAAAGGAAGGTCTTAAGCGCACTCTTAAAAACGGATAGGGTGTCTGCCGCCCGAACACAAACTGGAAGCTGATTCCACAAAAGTGGAGCTTGATAAGAAAAGGCTCTGGCTCCCATTGTACTTTTAGAGACTCTAGGAACAACCAACAACCCTGCATTCTTGGAACGCAATGCCCTAGTAGGACAGTAGGGTATAATGAGTTCTTTAAGGTAAGATGGCGCCTGCTCATTAAGGGCTTTGTAGGCGAGAAGAAGAATTTTAAATTCTATGCTGTGTTCTATAGGGAGCCAGTGTAAGGCAGCCAGAACAGGAGTAATGTGGTCCCTTTTCCTAACTCTGGTTAGTACACGAGCCGCAGCATTTTGAATCAGCTGAAGCGACTTGACTGACTTCTTGGTACACCCTGATAATAAAGAGTTACAATAATCCAGCCTTGAAGTAACAAATGCATGGACTAGTTTCTCTGCATCGTTTTGAGGCAAGATATGCCTGATTTTTGCAATGTTACGTAGATGGAAGTAGGCGGTCCTTGAAATTGATTTTATGTGGGCGTTAAAGGATAAATCCTGATCAAATATAACACCAAGATTCCTTACAGTCTCACTGGAGGCCAAATTAATGCCATCCATAGTTAATATATCCTTAGATAATTTGTTTCGTAGATTCTTCGGGCCAAGTACAATAACTTCAGTTTTGGTCGTGTTTAACATCAAAAAGTTTAAGGTCATCCACGTTTTTAAGTCCTTAAGGCAGTCTTGAATTTTATTTAGATGATTAATTTCATCAGGCTTGATTGATAAATATAGTTGAGTATCATCCGCATAACAATGAAAGTTTACAGAATGATTCCTTATAATATTGCCTAACGGAAGCATATATAATGTGAACAAAATAGGTCCGAGCACTGAGCCATTTTCTCGTTAAAAAAGCACATAAAATCATTACTACTGAGTGCTATGGGAATAGAAGGCTCAATCGAGCTACAGTGCTGAAAAGAAATGTTGCATTATTCTTATTCTCATCTATTAATGAAGAGTAGTAAGCTGCTCTCGCTTTACGCAGTGCTTTCTTATATTCATTGAGAGTAATATGTCAAATTAAACGAGATTCTTCAAGTTTAGTGGAACGCCATATCCTTTCAAGTTGTCTCGACTTTTGCTTTATTTTGCGGGTTTCGGCATTATGCCATGGAGCTAATCTATGTTGTTTTATTTTCTTCTTCTTCAAAGGAGCAACAGAGTCTAATTTTATTCGCAGCGCATCTGTAGCACTATCAACAACATGATCAATTTGGGGTGGTGTACATTTTGTATAAGTTTCCTCCCTTACATGCAGACATGCTATCGAGTCAAGTATTGGTGGAATCTCTTCCTTAAATTTGGCTATAGCGCTAACAGGACCTTTTGGCAACTGCACATCTCTATCGCCAATGTCGCCAACAGTTGAAATTGTTTCAACAGATTGCTGCTTAAAGATATTGCAATTTGAATGTATGACAACTTGTTTTAAATTCAAGAGGTACTCAAGCGATGTATATTGGGGGACCTGTAGATCAAAGCAGCAGGCGTCGGTCCGATCCCTCTATTGTTGCGGGTCAGGATGTAAAAAAGTGCTGCAGGAATGATAGTGGTCTGTGATGCTTGAAAAGAATATCCAGCAGACGGGGACAATGCAGCTCTCCAGCGTCAACATACCAGCACAAGTACTTTGTGGAACAGTCTGCCTATGATGGACATTCTAAATCTAAAAGCTCTGTAATGTTTTTTTGTGGGTCACCTTTCAATGATATTTTAGACGTTACTTTACAAAAGAGGTTAATCATTTAGTTCTGCTTTATTTGACTCCCTGTATTGTGTATTTCAGATTGTATCAGGATCGGGTGTGTGTGTCCCCCCCGCTGCAGAGGCCCTCTCTTCTTGTTTGGAGGTATCACTGAAAACCGCTTCTTTCTTTATTCTTTATTCATTTTTACTTTTCATTTTTAATTCATTAACTGATTCATTTGCTAGTCTGCAGTTGAGTTGAATGAATTGAGTTGAGTCATGAATGCCTCTGCAGTAACGTAGCCACACTCTTCTGGAGTATAATATTCATGTCTTTGTGTCCATTTATAAAAATACTGCAGCTCACATCCTTTTGTCATAACGGTGGGTTAGAAAACTACAACCTGCATAATACATGGCCTTGGTCTTTTTGTGAACATGTGTGTTGATTTAGAATAAATGTGCACTGCAGTAAGCCAGCACACATGACTGTTCTCCAGCAGCTGATCTCAGGGTCATTCAAAGATGTGTGGATGTTTAGTAACTGCTCCAGGTTTAGATTCAGAGTTTGTTTTGCTTTCTCACATTGCCACTGTACTGACTGCTACATGAGAGGCTGAGGGTCTGCTCTGTCTCTGGGGGGCAGGCGGTGCAGGTCCTGATGAGCAGTGCAGTGCAGCCTCTGCTGCAGTCAGTGAGTGACTCCATCGAGGCCATCATCATCACGCTGCACCAAGAAGACTTCTCAGGGTGAGTACCTCTGCAGGGACCCCTGAAGAATTCCCTCCAGAAACCCCCCAGCTATCGGAGAAAATACCACAGAGCATGATCTCTGCTCTACTGGACTCCTTTGTTTACTTCAGTAACAAAGTGACATCACTATGGAACACTTGCGCTCCTATTGGCTAGCACTCCAACACTTTGTACGTGATAGGCTAAGGAGCGGGACATCTCTAAGCTGTTGACCAATCACAACAGAACCGGGCAGCTAACCAATCAGAGCAGACTGGGCTCTGGTTTCAGACAGAGGGTGAAAAGAGGTTCTGCAGCACAGGCAGTATGAGAACAATAAAGAGCTTTTTGAACATTAAAGCAAGGATACATGTCCTAGTAGAGACACTACATACTGATATGAAGCTGAACATCAGCAGGAGAGGACTCTTTAAAGTAGAGACACTACATACTGATATACACCTGAACATCAGCAGGAGAGGACTCTTTAAAGTAGAGACACTACATACTGATATACACCTGAACATCAGCAGGAGAGGACTCTTTAAAGTAGAGACACTAAACATACTGATATACACTCTGAACATCAGCAGGAGAGGACTTCTTTAACAGTAGACACACATACGATAATACACCTGCAAACTCAGCAGGAGGGACTCTTTAAGTAGAGACACTACAATACTGATATACACCTGAAACATCAGCAGGAGAGGACTCTTTAAAGTAGAGACACTACATACTGATATACACCTGAACATCAGCAGGAGAGGACTCTTTAAAGTAGAGGCTCTACATACTGATATACACCCTGAACATCAGCAGGAGAGGACTCTTTAAAGTAGAGGACACTACATACTGATATTACACCCCTGAACAGCAGCAGGAGAGGGATCTTTAAAGTAGAGACACTACATACTGATATACACCTGAACATCAGCAGGAGAGGACTCTTTAAAGTAGAGACACTACATACTGATATACACCTGAACATCAGCAGGAGAGGACTCTTTAAAGTAGAGACACTACCTACTGATATAACACCTGAACATCAGCGGAGAGGACTCTTTAAAGTAGAGGACCCTACATACTGATATAACCTGAACATCAGCAGGAGAGGACTCTTTAAAGTAGAGGCTCCTACATACTGATCTACACCTGAACATCAGCAGGAGAGGACTCTTTAAAGTAGAGACACTACATACTGATATACACCTGAACATCAGCAGGAAGAGGACTCTTTAAAGTAGAGACACTACATACTGATATACACACTGAACATCAGCAGGAGAGACTCTTTAAAGTAGAGACACTACATACTGATATACACCTGAACATCAGCAGGAGACTACTCTTTAAATTAGAGACACGACATACTGATATACACCTGAACATCAGCAGGAGAGGACTCTTTAAAGTAGAGACACTACATACTGATATACACCTGAACATCAGCAGGAGAGGACTCTTAAAGTAGAGACACTACATACTGATATACACTTGAACATCAGCAGGAGAGGACTCTTTAAAGTAGAGACACTACATACTGATATACATCTGAACATCAGCAGGAGAAGGACTCTTTAAAGTAGAGACACTACATACTGATATACACCTGAACACTCAGCAGGAGAGGACTCTTTAAAGTAGAGACACGACATACTGATATACACACCTGAACATCAGCAGGAGAGGACTCTTTAAAGTAGAGACACTACATACTGATATACACCTGAACATCAGCAGGAGAGGGACTCTTTAAAGTAGAGACTACGACATACTGATATACACCTGAACATCAGCAGGAGAGGACTCTTTAAAGTAGAGACACTACATACTTGATATACACCTGAACATCAGCAGGAGAGGACTCTTTAAAGTAGAGACACTACATACTGATATACACCTGAACATCAGCAGGAGAGGACTCTTTAAAGTAGAGACACTACATACTGATATACACCTGAACATCAGCAGGAGAGGACTCTTTAAAGTAGAGACACAACATACTGATATACACCTGAACATCAGTAGGAGAGGACTCTTTAAAGTAGAGACACTACATACTGATATACACCTGAACATCAGCAGGAGAGGACTCTTTAAAAGTAGAGACAAACTACACTGATATCACCTGAACATCAGCAGGAGAGGACTCTTTAAGTAGAGACACTACATACTGGATATACACCTAACATCAGCAGGAGAGGACTCTTTAAGTAGAGACACTACCATACTGATATACACCTGAACAATCAGCAGGAGAGGACTCTTTAAAGTAGAGACACTACATACTGATATACACCTGAACATCAAGCAGGAGAGGACTCTTTAAAGTAGAGACACTACATACTGATATACACCTGAACATCAGCAGGAGAGGACTCTTTAAAGTAGAGACACTACATACTGATATACAACCTGACATCAGCAGGAGAGGACTCTTTAAAGTAGAGACACTAAATACTGATATACACCTGAACATCAGCAGGAGAGGACTCTTTAAAGTAGAGCCACGACATACTGATATACACCTGAACATCAGCAGGAGAGGACTCTTTAAAGTAGAGACACGACATACTGATATACACCTGAACATCAGCACGGAGAGGGACTCTTTAAAGTAGAGACACTACATACTGATATACACCTGAACATCAGCAGGAGAGGACTCTTAAAAGTAGAGACACGACATTCTGATATTACACCTGAACATCAGCAGGAGAGGACTCTTTAAAATAAGAGACACTACATACTGATATACACCTGAACATCAGCAGGAGAGGGACTCTTTAAAGTAGAGACAACGACATACTGATATACCCCTGAACATCAGCAGGAGAGGACTCTTTAAAGTAGAGACACTACATACTGATATACACCTGAACATCAGCAGGAGAGGACTCTTAAAGTAGAGACACGACATACTGATATACACCTGAACATCAGCAGGAGAGGACTCTTTAAAGTAGAGACACGACATACTGATATACACCTGAACATCAGCAGGAGAGGACTCTTTAAAGTAGAGAGACTACATACTGATATACACCTGAACATCAGCAGGAGAGGACTCTTTAAAGTAGAGACACGACATACTGATATACACCTGAACATCAGCAGGAGAGGACTCTTTAAAGTAGAGACACTACATACTGATATACACCTGATCATCAGCAGGAGAGGACTCTTTAAAGTTAGGAGTGACACGACATACTGATATACACCTGAACATCAGCAGGAGAGGACTCTTTAAAGTAGAGACCACTACATACTGATATACCCCTGAACATCAGCAGGAGAGGACTCTTAAAGTAGAGACACAACATACTGATATACACCTGAACATCAGCAGGAGAGGACTCTTTAAAGTAGAGACACTACATACTGATATACACCTGAACATCAGCAGGAGAGGACTCTTTAAAGTAGAGACACGACATACTGATATACACCTGAACATCAGCAGGAGAGGACTCTTTAAAGTAATAGACACTACATACTGATATACACCTGAACATCAGCAGGAGAGGACTCTTTAAAGTAGAGACAACTACATACTGATTACACCTGAACATCAGCAGGAGAGGACTCTTTAAAGTAGAGACACTACATACTGATATACACCTGAACATCAGCAGGAGAGGACTCTTTAAAGTAGAGACACTACATACTGATATACACCTGAACATCAGCAGGAGAGGACTCTTTAAAGTAGAGGACACTACATACTGATATACACCTGAACATCAGCAGGAGAGGACTCTTTAAAGTAGAGACACTACATACTGATATACACCTGAACATCAGCAGGAGAGGACTCTTTAAAGTAGAGACACTACATACTGATATACACCTGAACATCAGCAGGAGAGGACTCTTTAAAGTAGAGACACACAAATACGGATATACACCTGGAAACATCAGCCGGAGAGGACTCTTTAAAGTAGAGACACTACATACTGATATACACCTGAACATCAGCAGGAGAGGACTCTTTAAAGTAGAGACACGACATACTGATAATACACCTGAACATCAGCAGGAGAGGACTCTTTTAAAGTAGAGACACTACATACTGATATACACCTGAACATCAGCAGGAGAGGACTCTTTAAAGTAGAGACACAACATACTGATATACACCTGAACATCAGCTGGAGAGGACTCTTTAAAGTAGAGACACTACATACTGATATACACCTGAACATCAGCAGGAGAGGACTCTTTAAAGTAGAGACACTACATACTGATATATACCTGAACATCAGCAGGAGAGGACTCTTTAAAGTAGAGACACTACATACTGATATACACCTGAATATCAGCAGGAGAGGACTCTTTAAAATAGAGACACTACATACTGATATACACCTGAACATCAGCAGGAGAGGACTCTTTAAAATAGAGACACTACATACTGATATACACCTGAACATCAGCTGGAGAGAGGACTCTTTAAAGTAAGAGACACTACATACTGATATACACCTGAACATCAGCAGGAGAGGACTCTTTAAAGTAGAGACACTACATACTGATATACACCTGAACATCAGCAGGAGAGGACTCTTTAAAGTAGATACACTACATACTGATATACACCTGAACATCAGCAGGAGAGGACTCTTTAAAGTAGAGACATACATACTGATATACACCTGAACATCAGCAGGAGAGGACTCTTTAAAGTAGAGGACACTACATACTGATATGAAGCTGAACATCAGCAGGAGAGGACTCTTTTAAAGTAGAGACACTACATACTGATATACACCTGAACATCAGCAGGAGAGGACTCTTTAAAGGAGAGACACTACTACTGATATACACCTGAACATCAGCAGGAGAGGCACTCTTAAAGTAGAGACACTACATGCTGATATACACCTGAACATCAGCAGGAGAGGACTCTTTAAAGTAGGGACAACTACATACTGATATACACCTGAACATCAGCAGGAGAGGGACTCTTTAAAGTAGAGACACTACATACTGATATACACCTGAACATCAGCAGGAGAGGACCTCTTTAAAGTAGAGACACTACAATACTGATATACACCTGCACATCAGCAGGAGAGGACTCTTAAAGTAGAGACACTACATGCTGATATACACCTGAACATCCAGCAGGAGAGGACTCTTTAAAGTAGGGACACTACATACTGATATACACCTGAACATCAGCAGGAGAGGACTCTTTAAAGTAGAGACCACTACATACTGATATACACCTGAACATCAGCAGGAGAGGACTCTTTAAAGTAGAGACACTACATACTGATATACACCTGAACATCAGCAGGAGAGGACTCTTTAAAGTAGAGACAACTACATACTGATATACACCTGAACATCAGCAGGAGAGGACTCTTTAAAGTAGAGACACTACATACTGATATACACCTGAACATCAGCAGGAGAGGACTCTTTAAAGTAGAGACACTACATTACTGATATACACTGAACATCAGCAGGAGAGGACTCTTTAAAGTAGAGGACCCCTACATGCTGATATACACCCTGAACATCAGCAGGAGAGGACTCTTTAAAGTAGGGACACTACATACTGATATACACCCTGAACATCAGCAGGAGAGGACTCTTTAAAGTTAGAGACACTACATACTGATATACACCTGAACATCAGCAGGAGGAGGACTCTTTAAAGTAGAGGACACTACATACTGATATACACCTGAACATCAGCAGGAGAGGACTCTTTAAAGTAGAGACACTACATGCTGATATAACCTGAACATCAGCAGGAGATGGACTCTTTAAAGTAGGGACACTACATACTGATATACACCTGAACATCAGCAGGAGAGGACTCTTTAAAGTAGAGACACTACAATACTGATATACACCTGAACATCAGCAGGAGAGGACTCTTTTAAAGTAGAGACACTACATTACTGATATTACACCTGAACATCAGCAGGACGAGGACTCTTTAAGTAGAGACACTACATACTGATATACACCTGATCATCAGCAGGAGAGGACTCTTTAAAGGATGGTTGTTAGAGGGCTTACTAATCGAACTTATATCCCTGTGAAGACCTATGTCACTGGTCCCATGATCTTGTGAGTGTACGTGTGGCACCTCTAATGTGTGTGTCCTTGTTCTGTTCTCTCTGGAGACATAACTGTGTTTAAATGTGGTGTTGCAGGCCTCTGAGCAACCCTGATAAGCCGATTGTCCCGTGCTCCCTCTACATGAAGGAGCTGCAGGGCTCATGTCCAGAGTTCATGGGCTGACTACTTCAGACACTTCCAGTGTGTGGATTTCATCTACGAGAGCACCGAGTCCATCGCTCAGAGGGCCATCGAGCTGTTCAATCCGCCCCACAGCAGCCTGTTGCGGCCCCTGGGGGAGGGGGGCAAGATGAGGCCTGGCTGCTGACTGCGCTCAGGTGAGGGACCTCTTCCTGCTTCAAAGGGTCCTTCCCTGGTCCTTCAGCAGGCTGTTCAGGCCACGTTTACACGGAGATGAAAACGAAACCTTAGTCGATATAAAAAATAGGGTCCGTCCACATGAGAACCGCTCGACCCGCTGGGACAGGCGCTTGTAGTACATATGCCGGGCCTGTAAGTGGCGCTTTGTACTTCCACCACAAAATACACCGAAAGCAGCGAAGAAGACCCCCGAGCATGGTTGCCATGGTTGCCTGGTTGCCCTTCTGTTTATTCTCCGCGGTGGATTCAGCAACATGTAGTTCATGTAGTTCTCCATGTCCACTTGTTGCTGATGGTTGTGGTAGAGGAGCTGTAGATTTTGCACTAACATCTGTAGCATGGTCAGTAGCGTCTGGAGCACGAAAGCAACACTGTGATCCGCCATTGTTGTTGTTGTTGTTGTTGTTGGCGAAACACATCAGCAATGACGCGGGGTACGCGGAGGTGAGCAGCAGAGGTGGGGAGAGGCAGGGCTATGGCGTCATCGTTATCAGGAAATGGTCGTATAGGACGTACACACGGAGCCGTTAGGGCCCCCCAGAGCGTTTCGTCCGCAGATCTACCCACCCTGGGAGCCGTTATCGTTTGAGGGCTCCGTTTCCACGGTTCCGTTACGGCCTCGTGTGAACGAACCGTCCATACGATAGAGAACTGTAGCGGATACAGCCCGTTTCGTCTCCGTGTCAACGTGGCCTCAGTTTGTGTCCAATGATCACTGTGTGTGTCTAATGATCACTGTGTGTGTGTGTGTCAGATGGAGTTGGCGGTGGCTCCTCTGTGCAGGAGAGTGTCTGATTTGGGGAAACCTTACCGGATGCTGCGCTCCTTCAGGTTTGTGTGCTTCTTTATATGCTCCTGTCTAGTAGAGAATATATATGTATATAGTGCTCTAAAATCACCTTTACAACTGTGTTGCAAGGCAATAATGTGTCACGCCCTGGCTCAAGGACAGACAAACGAAGGAGACCACACATGATTCATATCCAATTAAAGTGCATTTATTTAAAGAAACTAAGTTAATTATGAAGTCAGTTAATCAGTAATGTGTGTAGTGGGTGGGTGTGTGAACATGCATCAGTATATAAAGCAAACCAAGGTCCAGTAGAGCCAAGCAACCCAAGAGGAGAGAGAGAGACTGACTGCTCAGGCACCCATACTTGTAGCTGAGCAGTCAACCTAAATCAGGTGCCATCAATCTCTCCTGATTGGGGGAGTGGCTAACCGGGGAATTGGGTCTAAGGCCTAGGGGCCGTCACAAATGTTAGTGGAAGGAATTTGGTAATGTTCAAGAGAGGCTCTGCAACACATTACTCTGCAGCTCAGATCTGCTCTGCATGGAGGAAGGGTTTCAAAATGATCCGTGACTGCAACTCAATATAACCAAATGAATTGTATCAAAAGTATTGAAGCAATAAAGATAACTGCAATGACTTACTCAGGTTGCTCTCTCGTTGGAGTTGATTTGTATAATAATCTGAAACTGAATCAAATAGAGCTGTTTGGAAGGAGGGAAACCAATCAAATGCTGTATGCTTATTTTTTCTATAGCGATGTAAACAACAACAAAAACTGGGGTACTTAACAATAGGCACATCTAAAAATATGGGAATGTGTGTGTTTCAGGCCGCTGCTGTTCCAGAGCAGCGAGCTGATCTCCAGCAGCCTGGCTGTGGGGGAGCTGTTCCCCTGCAGCACCCTGCTGCACTTCTTCTTCACCAGAGCCCCCCCCGAGCTCAAGTCTCCTCACCAGGTCTACACACACACACACACACACTTTTGTTTTACTTGTGAGAACTCTTATTCCTTACAGACTACAGCAAAGCTAACCCGAACCTTAAACCAGGCTTAACCCTCCGACCAATATCTGACCAATTGTCCTCACAATGCTTTTGGTGTACATCTATACTTAAAGCAGTGTCCCCCCCCCCCCACAGAGAGCAGAGTGGTCTGTGGCGCGGTATTCCCAGTGGCTGGACGATCACCCCTCTGAGCGGGACCGGCTCTCCCTCATCAGGTCTGTTCTCATTCTCTTACCCTTTAAAGTGAGCATGCTGCATGGTTTAACAATCATAACCCTATAAAACATTTCAATTGTGGAATAACATCCATCATTTGAATAACTTGCAGGATCAAGTGCAAACTGGGACTGACGTAACAACACTGTTTATATCAGAAACCATTGTGTGGAATCTAATAATAGTATAACACTACTGCAATAAGTGTTGCGACAGAGCAGTGACTGAGACAGCTCTACATCACACTGGCCTGTATATAACCAACATAAACATAACGTTAAAACAAGTGATGAATCATTGCTGTGGTTTTCCTTTGGGAGAAGAGTCATTTTGCAAAATGAAACTTAATTTCATTTCAGTTATGCAATACACACCTCTGCATATTCACATTAAAGACAGCAGCAGTGCAGAGTGTTGGTGAGTGGCAGGCATCTGATGCATGTTGTGTTGAAGCGGTGCATTACGTACTTCAGACATTTGAAATGGTATCTTATAATTCCTCATATATTCACTCAAGTTTAAAAGCTGTGTTTCCCGATGGTCAACAAGAACGTCACCAGCTAACTGTGCTCTCCTGCAGGGGCGCTCTGGAGGCCTACGTGCAGGCGGTAAGGGCCCGGCAGGGGAAGGAGTTTGCTCCCATCTATCCCATCATGCTCCAGCTGCTCCAGAGAGGCAGCAGTGTCTGAGTCGGTGTTCCTGAGCTACTTCTGCAGCAGTTTGTGGATTGGGTTTAGTGCTGTACATAATGCTTCCTTTGCTCTTAAGAACTGTAGCAGCTGGAAAGGGGATCTTTCTTACTTGGAATATGATCACTGAATGAAGGGACTTTGTCGTGGCATATTTACTACAGGCACTCCATATTGAACCAAACATTTAGGGGACACACTTTACCTGGACAACCTGAGTGACCCAAGTCTTAACTACAACCATGACACTTAGTATAACATCTGCTAACAAACTAGTTGAAATACAAATGTTGACTGTTATTTCCCAGGTTGTGTATGGAAAGCTGAACCATGTGATCCTCACTGTCATGTCTTTAATATACAGAGACCCATGTGATCAGAGGTTGTGTGTTGTTCTTGAATGACTTGAGAATAAATGGGGAGATGTTTGAAGGGTTTTTATTTGTACAGTACTTCATTAGAAGCAGGGATGATCTCACACACACACACACAGTATGACAGCACACACAGGGGGCTCACACAGGCCACTTCCACTGGTTGGTGGGGGGTTCCTCTATCAGCGGCTCCCAGGGTTTCCACTCAGACATCTTCCTTGCCAGAGACAGCTCACACTCAGCCTGCACACAGGACGCACAGCCACTTCAGATATAATGCTTTCAGGAAATACATTTACACAAATTCCATTTTTTGCTAAGGAGATGAAAAGACTCTGGCAGGTTTGAGCTTATCAGGCAAGAGGCTATCTTTAGTATCCAACTGTGAACCACCAGGCAACAGAAATACATTTCATCCCATGAAGAGATCAGAGAACAGTGAACAGGGGATTTGCATCGGGCCAGACCAAGTCCCTCATGGGAGAGACGTTTGGTGTCTCCCTGCTGCAGCACTAAGTGAATCATGTGTGAAGGCACTTATCAGGGACCTACCTGGAAAATAACCTCTTCAATCTGCCCCACAGTTGATCTTATTCTCCAGCTTATCAACATCAGGCTCCTGAGAACAGACACAGTCATGAGACACACGCCATACACACTCCAACCCAATCCTCAAAGACATTTCAAAATCACTACAATCATTTTTGCCAATAAGAAAATAACACCAGCATGCTCATTGGCTCTCAGTAAATGATAGATGGAGAATGTATCTTCTCTCTGCTCTGTTCATATTTTTCATAACAAGGATTTGTTTCCATGACACAAAACAGGAATTCATAATACGAACATAGAAATACTTGGGGAACCGGACAAATGATATTCTAAACATCGATATCGACTGAGAAATGTGCACCAGCGCCTCCCTGGTATATATTAATATTCTCTTGTTAGACTTGAGTTCAGCAGCCAAAGGATCTCCTCACTCACTGATTGGACGTGGTTGAACCTCTCGCCCACCAGCTGCTCGGTTGTACTTCCTGTAGGCGGCGTCCTGCGGCTATGGTCTGCAAGGGACTCCAGGATCTTGGAGTAGAGACTCCTCAGATGCTGAGACAGAGCAGGGGGGTCAGTGGAGGTAATACACCAGTAGGGCTGCTCAATTAATCGTATTTTAAATCGCGATTACGATTATGGCTTGCAACGATTACGAAACAAACGTAATAGAAATAA